CTCCATAATTTTTGTACTCACCTTGCTGCCCTCAGTCTGTACTGCCACAACCGTTAGCTAATATTTCCTGGTACAGCCCTCACACTCACTTAGTAAGAAGTTGTTAATAAGCCATAATCCCTCTACTCATTAAATGGTAAATATGGATAATTATACACTGTACTGAACTCGCACCCTTTTGTGTCCCTCTGTGTTTTCCTGATCTGAATCACTGTCAATGTCTGCAAACAAAAAATATACATGTACCTGTGACTCCACATAAAATTGTGCAATAACTTTCAGGTAGACTGACAATACTACTAATCACCATGTTGAAAACAAACCTCTAACAGCAGGTTTAGCTTCCATAGCAGCCTTTGCAACATCTAAATCACCGAGAATCTTGACTTCCAAATGAGGATCACATGCCTCATTGTACGCTGATGCTTGGACATACAAAATGTACAGCGATTGAGGGAGATACCGTGCTGTTTCATGCTGTGCTCGCTGAGCATCCAGTGGCATGTTCATGTACTCCTGAACAGGTTGTGTGGCCTGAAGATCAAATGAAAAAGTATTCCTTGAAGATTCTTGAGAGAATGAAAAATTTAGCATTCTAATTTTTTTCATGTCCATCAGCTACATGTACCTTTAAAATATTTTCTAGTCTTGGTTGTAGACTGTCCAAGAATTCTTTCTTGGTGTGAATTTCTTTCAAAAGTGTTTCTTTCTTTTTCAGAAACTGTTCTTTTTGTACTGCCAATCTGAAGTAAGAAAAAAGGGAAACAAAGTATGAAATTCAAACAATTATCCTGAAACATAAAACAGTATGGCAAAGGAAGGGAAAGGTATAAGGAAAGGCAGTCAGTTGCCATATCTAGAGAGAGAAAATCTGTAAAGCCTACATCCCAAAAGGAGGGAGGGTACACTGATACCCCAGGGTAGAAACTGTAAACCCTCAACTATGATAAAATGCCACTCCTGGAACCTACCCAGCTGAGTTCCATAAGCCCAAATTCATTCCCCTGTGGCACCATAACACTGGAATCAACTTATTTAGTAGAAGAGACAATGATATGAGTTGGAAAGTCTCAGAAGGGTGACAAAAGAGAGACACTATAAAACTTATTGACAATTCAAAGGAATGCACAAATGCCATAGGGCCTACATAAGCAGAGAAAAATGCATTTTACACATGCAGATCACAAGCCAGTAGGAATAATCTTTTCATTAAGTATCAGTTCCAAAAATGTTGTTTCTTACTTCTGTTGCCTTATCCCTTTCATGATGGCTTTAACTTTTTAACTCCCAAAGTGATCAACAAAAACCTTCCCCCTATAATATCCTTACATTATCCAGCAATAAGTGATGAGAATATTCAAACTTATCAGTAAGAAGTTGTTATCTTGATCTAACACCAAATTCTCATTACTAATTTACAAGGAAAAATGTAGCAACTTGAGGGGAGAATTAACAATTTGATCTTGGGAGTTAAAGGGTTAAAGATCACTCAGAAACTTAAAATTGAACACTTCTTTCTACAGGTATATTGCTTTTCAATGTAAGTTGTTTTAGCATTATTCACTTTTGTGAATTATAGGATTATGGGTAAGTCTTACTTTTTCCTCTGCTCCAGTTCCCAGTCAAGTCTTGCCAACATCAACTTATGAGAATCTCCTTTGGTGACATCCTTAAAAATTAATTTGTTAACTTCAGTAGGACTTCCAGACTCACTGGCCTAAATACCATGCATATCAGCTATAATATAAATATTCATCGAGTATTATTAGACTAAAACCTGGTTTCTACGAAGCATTTTTCAATTGAGTGACAAAAGTATTATCAATTTTGCTTCACATCAGTTTTTGATTTGTCTACAAAACTTTTGTCACCCTATACACCAATTGGATGCAAAACTAAAACCTACACCAAATTCTTTACTTACAGGTTTGGATATTTCATTTGGGGCATCTCTAAAAAATTCAACTTCTGACACCAGCTCTATTTCTTCATCTTTTGACCTAATAACATTTAAAGAAAGAGAAATTTATTCAGTCTAGAGAAGGTAAAAGTCTGCCTTTAGTTAAAACCTCTTGTACAGTCAGATGGTTTTGTATTTGTCAAGGCAAGTAAGAATACAGCTACTCTTACTGGATGAGATTTAACAGGAAGTACACCAACTGTTAACTTAAGCATTTCATCACATTTCTGTTAACAATTTCCTGCACCCTTTAGTACTGTGTAAGCAAAGAAGTAAGTTAAACTTAATTTTCTCACAAAAGATAACAACACAGCTTAGATTAACCCAAAAGGTATGCAAAAATCCCCCAATTTCATGGGTTAATGCCAGCCATGTAACCCATGACTGCCAAAGCCCATCCTGGTGATTTCAATGACATGAAGCAAAACAGAGTATTCCTTCTCCTTCTGGATATGGTGTCACACCATATGATTACTTCCAAGTATTTATAAAGTTTCCATTGTAGTTTCCTAAGACTCATCTATACTCCTGACTAAAAGAGGTATTGTGAAAGTGAATCCTCTTCCAATAACACAACACAACGCCTGGCAAGGGCCGAAGTCTTGGCTCTCTTGATTCAGGGTCCAGTGAGGCAACCAATTCACCATCACTACCACAAAATGAGGCCAAAATGATTATGCAAAAGGAGGGTGTGGTGGTAAGAAATTTTCAAAACATTTTCAAAGAACACTTTACTCACTTGAACTCAAGACATTTTGTTATTTCTTTTTTCAAGTGCATCACTTCATAGAGAAGGTTCTGTAACTGCAGGTGGAGACTATCCACTTTCTGTTTAGACTGAAAGTAAGAATAGAAAAAAATAAAAGCTTGATAACAGCATGGATGAACAAATATACCTTCTGCTGACAAGTTATTTATAAATGATTTATTAGTTCTTTGACTTGCTCATATCCTTTTTCATACTACTGGATGTTCTGAAAACAAGTCATTGTCTCCAAAAACTTCTGCCATCCAACAGCATTAATTTCACAGAGGATATTTTAGTTTCTAGCATTCATGGAAAATTTTCATAATCTAGTTGGACCTGCTGCATGTTTATGATCAGCTTCACCAATAACCTCTGAACAAAAAATTCAAAATAAAAACTGATAAGAGCTAAGTTTTTTTTCACTGTTTTCATTTGCTAATTACAAGGAAACAATGGTAAATTTTTGCCAGATGCACAATAGTCACACTCTGTATACTTAGCTTTTGGTAGGAAAATTAGAAGGTAACAGGATCTTTGAGAAACTCTCTAGCCATCTGACTGGCTTTTTTTGCTATAGTGCAAGATACATCTTGTAGTTTTAAAGATTTCAGGTTTAAATGATTTCAATTAACAATGAAATCCTAATTAATTTAAGCAGAGTAGTTTACTATTAAGCATTCACAGACCTCTTGAGTTCTCTCTCTAGCTTTCTTACATCGCATATGTGCAAGTCTGTTGAGTTTTTTCAAGATCGTAAACAGGAGAGTGCACCTTATCCTGGACTCACTGACATCTGAATCCTAGTGAAAAAAAAAAAAAAAATTTCCACATTATTGTTCTCAACACCAGTGTCAACAATCCCAGCAGAGAGCTCTCTGAACTGGTTTGAGGATAAAGACCATAACATAAACCCAAGCATGATCAGGCTTGTCAGAAAACCATGTTTTGAATTTGCTTTATAAGAGTATAGCTATAAACCAATCAAAGGACAAGGTGACTTCCAAAAAATAATGATGGCAACCGTTTTGAACAGAAGCAGGTGTGCCACTCCTAATTCATTCAAGGTCCTGACTTTTAAGTAGACTGTATTGACCCTTTCCACCCTTACATCAGTATGTAAATTCTCCAAACTGTCCTCTATACATTTCCTAAGGTGGTGACAAGGAGAATTTGTGTAATAATCAAGAGCTTCTTTAATTGGTGATTGTTTCCTTTATTCTCATAACCTTAATGCTTGATTAAGGGGTGATTTTTAAAGCAGAAATTAGAAGCTAGTCACTCTTAGGCATCAAAGAAGTAAACGATACAGTATCACTGAAATGTAAGTTGACAGTCAACAGAAGTTAATCCTTAATTCACAATCCTTGATTCTTGAAAACTTGGAGGATCTTGGCTGGAGTTGAGTTTCTGACATTAAAGACCTTTTGAGAATTATCATTTTGTCTTCATAATCTCAATTTTCTAAGCAGCAAACTGAACAGTTTGATCAGTCCATTGCATAATGTGATCCTCATAAGAGGGTAGTCCTGAAAAGATATGCTGCCAATGACCGTGACTGATTTTTGACAACCTAAAAGGACATTGTTTCATTTGAATCTGATAATGATAGCCTCTCTCAGACCAGATGTCAGTTACTCTTACCAACAACAGTTCTTTTCAGGAACTTTCCGATCACACTATGCCATCAACCGTTGTTCCTGTGTTTAAACAATTCATTGTACAAAATGATCGCTTTTTGACTCTTTTAAGTTTCTAGATCTTACCTCGAGTTTTTGCTTCTGAATTTCTGCTACAAGCTTTCTGATTTCCTCAGTTCCTCTCTCAAAAGAAGCAACATCAGCAGCAGCACTTCTTTTCTCCACCTCCGTATCCTCTATGTTCGTAACATGTTGACCATCTGAAGATTTAGAAGTACCATCTTTAGTTGTAGTAGAAGCAGAAGCGGCTGCAGTTTTCGAACTGGTTGGAGATGTAACCACTCTCTTCTCCTGCGAAGGACTACCTGCATCTGATGACGTGCGTGTTCTTCTACGTTTCATTTTTGGCCACAAACTTGATCAAAATTCCGAGACAGACTGGTGGATTTTGGAGAATTACTTTGCAATGTCAAATTCATATGTAACTCCACGCAGCCGCCATCTTCACTCCCCAATAACGCATGCTTTTACTTGAAACACCGCTAACATACCCCGACTGTGTCCCTGCTGTCTCGTATTTACTACCACTACCATATTTGGTCATTTTGGAGGGTGTCGTTGCATATTATGGTTTATCGCTGCTTAATCATGACATCATTTATTTTCATTTCTTGTTCTGTTGACGTCCACACCTTCCAAGGGAAAATTTGGAAGAGGTTTGGATGATAATGTAGTATTTTACGATTTATTCATGCATGAATCAACCACGAACAGTTGATGTCGTTGTGAGTGATACTCAAGATATTTGTAAGCTGTTTTTGTTGGGTTATCAGTTCGCTCTTCTGTCCAAATTTAGGACGTGAAGGTAGCCATATTCCAGAATCAGTAGCTCAGGATAACGCTCCTTCATTGTTTTCACGAAGCGATTTCCTGGAAGAACACTGAAGGAGATGGCTGCGGTAAGAGTAGTTAACGCATAATTTACGTTGTCGATCTACTTTCACTAGCGGAACTGATCAAATCTTCAATTTTCGATTTGTAGCAAGCCGAACAACCCTCTAGTATGGTTTACGTGCAAGCAAGTGAGCTCTTCCCGAAGAAGACGCTCGCTTCAGGTTAGTGCCAAGTTTCATGCTGTGTCATCTCCAACCCAAGATGCTCATAGTTTTTTGTAGATCTACTTCGTTAGTTATACGAATTCATAACACGATGGCGAGTTTAAAATTTGCCAACCAAGCGGTATGTGGAAATAGTTTTCACCATTTCCGTCTAGACTACAGATTTATAAGCTCATCGCGGGCGTTTTATTTGCCTTATCTTGTAAACTAGCTCGGGCCGGATTAAACTCGTTCCATTTATCTACTATTTTACCTTGCATCCAAATAAACGTCTTTGCAATCTAACTGGACATTTCGACTCAGACGCAGGTTTGGTTTGTCAATCGTTATTAGTTTCCTTGTAGCAGATCGAGTCATCAAGCGCTTGAAGACTGTCAAATTAATTGTTATCAATTGCCATGGTGTATACTAACGAACCATTAAATTTCTTCTGACCTTGTTATGGTGAGAGGAGTACATTTTGATATTTGAAGTGTTGGTTGAAATTTAAAAACGTCCTAAAGTACTTAAAAATCATGCCCCACAAATGATACAACGTCAATATTTGATATGGAGTGACGAGCTAATAATAGGTAGTACCCTTGTCAAGAGGTCGCGTTTTAATTCCCCTTGGTCAGAAAGGTTATCATCCGTGATAAAATTGTGTCAAATCTTTTTGTTTTCATTTTCCAATTGTGCATGTCTGTGCACGTTCAAATTGATAACTGAGCTTCTGAAAACACAAGCAGATTAGTTTGTACTATTTGTTTCCAAATTTGAACATTCTCTACTGTGTTAATAGTCTGTTTATATTTACGTTTAATTAATAATTTAAAATAAAGGATTTCTAGATAGCAATGCACATATCTCAAATTTCACGTTTTTAACTTTCTATATTAGTAGTAAGTTTGAAGGGAGGATTGAGGTGCCATAATTTGCAGCTGATAAAGTAAATCTGTATTCATTGATTCAAATCAATCAAAGTTTGCTTTGCAAATGGGAAATGCAAGATGGCGATCTTCACTTCTGCTCAGAAAGCCACAAGATGTTCCTTGAAAATGCTCTCAAACACATTGTAATATTGCTATCTTTCACTTTTATTTAAATTTTTTTTGCTATTGTTTTTGCTTTCCCATGTAGTGAAAGCCTTATTAGATCTAGTTAAACACCCACTCTCCTTCAAAACAATAGAGGAAAAAAAGTTTTAGCAATTTGCCTTCTTCTTTGAACCCTCTACATGTATTTGTTCTCTTCAATAGAAGATGCCGCTCAGATACCATTTCCTGAACTATGTGGAGAAAGTGTGGAGTATCTGGAGAAAACATCTGATGCCTTGCTTACTCTCTCCAACTTTCGTCTCTTTATTCGTTTCAAAGACTCGTTTGTGAATGTAAGTTTTCAATTTTGTCCTGATAATTTTAATCTTTGTTCTTTACCCAGGTCTGGATATCAGATCTCTTGACTGTCCACCTTATAATTCTAAATTTTTTTTCTCTGAGATGAATTATAGTTGAATAATTGTTCAATATAACAACTTCTACGGGGGAAAAGAGAGAGAAAAAGGCATGAAAGCAACAGAATCAGGCTGCGAGTTCATTTCGTTTTCAAACAAAATTACTTCTTTTTACTCTATTTGTTTTGTGTGAAACTCCAGCATTCATGCAACAGATTTTTTTAATCCTTCAATTTCAGTGGTACAACATTAAACTGAACATACATTTTATTGGTCTGATAATGAAAAAGCTTGATTCTGTCTTGAACTTGTTTCTCTTAGGTTGGTATTCTCTGATTTGTCTTTTCTCCATTTCAGATTCCCTTGCGGTTGATAGAGTCTCTGGAAATGAAAGATCTTTTTTGGATGGATGTCAACTGTAAGGATGCTAGGTCTTATAGGTGAGACAATGCCTTAAATTTCTCGTACAATTGTAGAGCTGAGGATAATTTTTCAAGATCACGTATACATGTAATATCAGGTATTTCCTGCATGTTTTCTTGTCATGGAATGTTTTAGTCATTGTGGTAAAGGTAAAGCAAATGCAGCTAAGCTTTTTATTAAGTTATTCAGTTATTCATTCAACTTGATTTTTTAACTGAGATCTTTGATCTGGTGTAAAATGGGGTAATAGATGGGATTTTTAAATGGAAAAGTTAAGGGCTAAGCTGACTAAAGTATGGAAATATCCAGGACTTCAAACTTAAATTCTTACAGAACCATAGGACTGGGATTTAGATGTTTCCTAATACACACCTGTTTATTGGGTTAGACAAGGGAAAAACCCTGTTATTAATGAAAAAATTTCTTGTGCTTGCCACCATATACCAATGTTCCAGTGGACTCAAATGTATACAATTAAAATACATTTTAACCCTTTGACCCCCAAGAGTGACCAGCATTAAATTTCTCCTTACAATATCATTCCTGAATCACAAATTAAGGCCACAAGAATAAAAGAAATGATCATTAACTAAAGAACTACTTGATTATAAACAAATTCTCCTAGTCATTTCTTAAAGAGATTTGTGGAGAAGAGTAAGGAGAATGTGCATACTGATGTTATGGTATAAAGGGTTGAAGGACTTGGCATTTTGTGGTTCCTCCTTGATATAAGTTTGGAACTTGATTTGTATCTGAGATGTTATCCCCCAGGTTTACCTATTGCTCTTTATTGCATTTTCTACAGGATTTTATTTGACAACAGTGAACAGTGCACGAACTGGTATAACCGTCTTAGCAAGTTCATCTGTCCTGTCTCGCGCCTTGAAGATCTGTTTGCCTTTGCCTTTTACGCATGGTGCTTGGACTATAACTCTGCAGAAAAGGATGAATTTACCAGTTTCTGTGAGCAAGGTAGGTGCAAAGCCGAGTTTTGTCAATCTGGAGAATTTTTCTGTGGAAGACAAATGTAGTACTTATTGCTATCTTCAGTTCTTCACCCCTGTAATTCTCAAGATTTCAGTAGTGATTCATCCTACTGACTGCTATACATTTCCTCTTAATTATATGTTCTGATGTCAAAGAACAACCTCAAGCAGATAAGCTTGTTTGTTCTCATTACCTGTTTGCAAGATAACATGATGGAATTTCAAGAAGAAGCTAGATGCTAGACCTGCAGTATGATGTATGTGGTATGGGGTGTAAGGAAACACAGACATGATTTGTTACCCATTGAATTCCAGGTCTGACCTCCCTGACTTTTTGTGTACTTAAAACTCAAATAAATTTTGAGAGCATCTAAAGAACAGGATAACGGAAGCTCTGCATTATTGAATATTTTGAATAAAATTGTGCTGTAATTTTCTAAATTCTGGAAGTAATGAAAGTCATTCTTTCATTTTGTCCAGATGAAGTGCAGTATTCATTTATGTCAGAGGTCAAAAGAATGGGTTTCGATAATGATGCATGGAGGATCACAGACATCAACTCTAACTTTGAGTGAGTTAAATTTTTCCCTTTTTTTTTCATAACAATATTAATTTAGAAAGAGGAATGTTTCCTGTATTCTTGAACTCTAATAAGTTTGGATTACTTCATGGTTGGTGAACCCATACAATTTTTATTCTCAAGTTGTAGAAATCACAAATGGACAAACAGTATGTCCACAATAACATGGCCACTGATTATTTCTTATTTTCCTTTCTACTTCCAAATTTTTGATGGTCCTGCATTGTTTTTCAGGTTGTGTTCTACTTATCCAAAACTCCATATTGTACCAGCCATGATTACTGACAAAGATATGGAAGCTGTAGCTAAGTTTCGAACATCCCATAGGTTTCCATCTGTTGTGTGGAGGTAAGGGTAGGAGCTACATCATGGTTTGTTCACCTTGGAAAAAAAGTAAATTTCTCATCTGCCTGCTGTCAGATTGCTCTAAGTTGCGACTGTTTTGGTCACTATAGCAAGTGAAATATATTTTTAGCGATTGAAAATTTCAGCAAAAGTCATCAATCAGTGAGCAACAGCTTTGAAAAAAGAATCTGTAAAATATGTTGATGTTTGGTTGAATTATCAAATGTCCAAATGCTGGTAACGCAAACATGAAGTATCCTCCTATTGATATGATTATCTTATTTTTTTTATTTTTTTTTTTATTTTTTATTTTTTCAGCCAAATGTTTTTCTATGGTGACCATTTTACAGATGAAGGTCGCCAAAAGGCAACTTTTTGAAAAGGGGAACTTGAAACCCTGTTTAAGCTATTTTGTTTCAATCAGAGGTAATGGGTGTGTTATCTCAGTTAGAGGCATTTCATGTTTATCTTTGCTCCACAGGCACATGACTAATGGAGCTGTTATAGCTCGCTGTAGTCAACCAGAGGTTGGTTGGTTTGGTTGGCGAAGTCAAGAGGATGAGACCCTTCTGCATGCATTAGGAAAAGCTTGTGCAACAGACTCAGTGTCTGCTTCTTTAAAGAAGCAACTCATCAAAGAGATGGGTGTGAAGAATCATCACACAAATGGGCACACAGATGCCATTCCCAATGGAGATGTAGTTTATGATAGTACTGGTGATGACAATGATGATGAGGGTAAGGATGTTGCAGCATGCAGTGTCATTGAACAGCGCAAGGTTCTGATTGTGGATGCCAGGGCCTATACAGCTGCAGTGGTCAACAGGGCAAAGGGAGGAGGCTGTGAGTGTGAGGGTAAGTTTGATTTGATCAGCAATTCTCCCTCCTTGCCTCTTTGCATTTTCCTGTAGATTGTTTAACCCTATAACTCCCAGAAGTGATCAACATGAAACTTCTCCCTATAATATCCTTACATTATCCAGCAAATAGGTAATGAGAATATTAAAACTTATCAGTTAGAAGTTATCTTGATCTAACACCAAATTCTCATAACTAATTTACAAGTAAATGTGTAGCAGCTAGAGGGGAGAATTTACAATCAGATCTCAGAGAATTGATAACAGCTGATAACAGTGTATGTTCTCATCCTGTGTTTGCTAAATAATGCACAAACACATTAAGGAAAATTTACTTTTCAATTACTTGTGGGAGGTAAAGCGTTATAGTCTCATTTACACCAACATGTCAATATGCATCAGCTGAGAGACCCTCCAAGGATACTTTTTCAATGACAATTATTCGCATTTGAACTCCTTTGTCAAGTCATCTACACAATCAGATATCATCACTGAACTGTTTTCAGTATCTTGGATACCTTGAGTGAGATTATATATTCTTGGTTACCATATTTGTTGTCAGTGCTTATTAAAACAAAAATTGAGCATAAAAATAAATAGTTTTTAGAAGAAAGCAAGCTTAATGAATATAAATTGTGTGATATATTTGTTATCCACACCTTGTCATATTGATTATTATTTGTTTCATAATATTCCCTCTTTACCCTTTTTCCATAGAGTACTACCCAGGCTGTGAAGTGTTGTTTATGAATTTGGCCAACATCCACAGTATAAGGAAGAGCTTCCAAAGTCTAAGAACATTATGCTCAGGTCCAAGAGATAACCCCAAGTAAGGCATTTAGCCCTTTGTATCCTAACAGTAGCATTCATATTCTCCACACTGTTCTCTTAACAACTTCTGTTGAACCATAGGGAGAATTTGTGTTACAATCCATAGCTTCTCAAATTGGTGATCATTTCCTTTATTTTCATGACCTTAACTTTTGATTCAAGGGTGACATTGTTTGGAGAAATTATACGTCAGAAACTTGCAGGGGTGAAAGGGTTAATCCTCTACATCCAAACATCAGTATTCATATTCTCCTTACTGTTCTCTGTACATTTACAAAGGTGCTGACAAGGAGAATTTGTCTAACAATCAAAAGCCTCTTTAGTTGGTGATCATTTCCTTTATTCTCATGACACTAATGTGTGATTCAGGGGTGATATTGTCAAGAGAAATTAGATGCTAGTCACCCTTAGGGGTGAAAGGGTTAAGAAAGATTAATGCAATATTTTCCTGTCATTTGTTAGTTGACATTGATTTAACAGTAAAATCTGACTGACTTATTTACATATTCTTTAGTTGGTGGTCCAGTCTGGAAAAGACGAACTGGCTTCACCACATTTCGCTCTTGCTGAAGGCAACCAACACTGTTGTGAATGCTATCCATAAAGAACAGAGACCTGTTGTGGTTCACTGCAGCGATGGCTGGGACAGAACAACTCAGATTGTTGCTCTGGCAGAGCTGATGTTGGACCCCTACTATAGAACAATTGAGGTAAAAGAAGTCAGAATATTAACTCATGAAAAGCTTTGAAAGGTTGAAATTATGAATTAAGCACCACTCAAGTTTAAACTGAACCTCAAAGAAATTTTGTTGAATTCAGACTCAAAGCAGAGGAAGACCCCTAAAAAATTCCCCATGATTTTGGTCTGGATTGTGGTATACAAATTCAAGATGATGGTTTGCTTGCCATTCTTAAGTTTGAAAGCACTTATGCAGTGAAACAAATATTACAAGAATGGGCATTCATATTCTTAAAAACAGGGATTTCAATTTTACTTATGCTTGTAACATTAGTGCCTTCAGGTCAACATTGAACTCCACTATTTAAAGTATTGCAGTACAGAATCTGTAATAGCCAAAAATGGAAGAGGAAACAGAATATTTGACTGAAAGGCATGAGATTTGGCAGATTTAAGTAACAATGCCTGAAACAAGCCTTGCCTTAAAATTCTACAGTGTAGATTCTGCATTGAGTTTAGCTACCCACTGTATGGAATTACTTGCAATTTAAATCATAATTTTCATGGAGTGGTTATTGTTTTTCTTTAAAATTGATATCATGGTGAACTTTGCAAAGGGTATTCTTTGATGTGATGATGTTTTCTTTCCATGTAGGGCTTTCAGGTGTTGGTCACACGTGAGTGGTTGGAGTTTGGCCATCGTTTTGCGGATAGGTGTGGTCATGGACACAATCATGATGAGAATCAAAGATGCCCTGTGTTTCTTCAGTGGCTTGATTGTGTGCACCAACTCACTAGGCAGTTTCCTTGCTCATTTGAGTTTAATGAAACCTTTTTGGTAAGGTTAAATCTGCAGCTCCTGGTTAACACATTGCTCTCTTTAGAACTGTGCCCTGTACTCAAGTTTTTCCAAAGTTGCTATTTTGCAACCAAAAATCACAAAATGGTAATGAGAAGCAAAATGGAAAGAAGTATTTAATGTGTAATGTTGTACATGTTGATCTCATTTGAACTTGAGGCTATAAACACAAAGGAAAATGTTGCAATATGCTATGTGATTGCTGAATACAGGTTGGCAAATTAATGACTTTTACTGTAAATGAGGGTCAAAAATGTTTTTCATCAGCATGGTGGTGACCCAACTGGTGACATATTGAAGTGCTGTTGAGAATTTTTCCCTCTACTGTACTGAAGTTAAAAAAAAAATTGTTGAAATAGCCAGTAAGATGTATTCAAGTTTTGAATGGTCAGGAGAAGTTGTATGACTTTGTCATTTTCCAGCATGAACAACTTTTTTCAGATCTTGGTGTAAATTCTGTAGTTTTATCTGTTTTGTATGCTGTTTAAATGGATATTTCCATTATGTACCTTTTCCATAGGTAAAGTTGGCCCACCATGCTTATTCCTGTCTATTTGGAACTTTCCTCTGCAACAGCGAAAATGAACGTCTTAAAGGAAATATTCCCAGGCGAACATTCCCAGTGTGGTCTTTCCTAAACTGGAGAAGAAAGGAGTTTAAGAACTACTTATACTCCTCTTTGTCTGGACAGGTGAACTCCTGAGTTAATATTTTTGATATGTGCTATGGGCTTGTGTTTTTCTATATAGAGTGACAGCTATGTGGAAGATTTTTGATCAACCAAGTAATTTCCCAGAACCATCCTTTAGAAAAGTTTCAAAATGCAGTTTCTCTGCTTCAGTCAAAGGGGTACTCTGTTTTTCTTGGGGCTATCAAATAGGTTTATTTTGGGGCACAAGTGAAATTTGTAACTGATTATGATTTGTATTTGCCATCACTTAGGTTCTTCAGGCCTCCCACGAACCACGCAGCTTACAGTTGTGGTCAACTGTGTACACAGCATTTCCCACACCTTATGCTGAGTCTGGTATGGAGAATGGTGACACCAGTGACTATGGGGACTCTGTGAGCAGTGCATGCATTACTCCCATCTCACCTATATTTCCCAGTAGTATTGAGCAAGATGAAAGACTCTTATCAACTACTCACATCTCTGAGTCAAAATCTGATGAAAGTCTAGTATGTAAAGACTGTTTTGAAAATCAGCAAGGACTTCAAAAGGATAGCAATGAATTTGGAAGTGTAGACAAAGATGTCAATTCCAAGAGTTGTCACAACTGTAGGACAACCTTATCACAGAATCTTTCTGAAAGTAAATCAACAACAAAGGAAATCAGTGACTCAGAGTCTTGTCATTCTAAAAGTATGTATCTTAGCACAACAGACTCTTGTGCAGCTGGAGTTGTTTCATGTGAAGACAGTGTCAGTGAAATTGAAAACAGCATGTCCAGTAGTACAGCTACAGTAATACTTGAGCCAAATGATGAGGCTATCAGTGGCGATGGAGAAAACTCCTCCTCAGAAAAATTTTCTTCTAGTGAGACTGATGAAGAGGTTTTCCCAGCTGGTGAAATCAATTCTGTGGGTGATATGCAACCACAAGAATCTCATGAATCTAAGCATTTGACAGCAGACCATTCAAAATGTGCTGCAGATACTTCTTGTGGTGGAGAGAGAAAGGATTGTACAGAAACTGTGCTTCCATCCTCTAGTTCATCTAGTCAGTCAACACTTACCAACAGTTTCCACGAAATGTCACCAAGTACGAAAACATCAAGACAAGGTTTATCAGAGCTCTTTACAGGGTACCTGGATGTAGATGGTTTGACGCACATTGCTGATCCAGTCCAGGACAGGCTACGGCAGATTGAGGTGGCTCATCAAGCTAATATTGAGTCATTACGGAGAAAAGTTTTGGATGCACAGAGGGGGCGGGCTGCTGTAGGAGAAAGAGGTGCATGTCCTTCTGGACCCACTAGCGACCTTGCAGATGAAGTGGTACGTATAGCTAAGAAATGGCACTTCAGAGATCAACTTCCCATGAATCTTTCATGAATCTGTTATTAAAAGTTAGTTCTTACTAAACGATTTTAACCACCAGGGGAGAGGGGCTATGTTGGCTTTATTCATCTCATATCCCACAAATGCAAGTTGAAAAATTGTTTTATTAAATGCCTCAATATATAGATAAATCTTCCCAACTTTATTCTGCAAGAACAGAGGGAATGTTACAATGTGCAAAATCGCTTCTGCTCTATGCCCAATACAGTGAGTGATACCCACTATTTGAATGAGCCATAGTTGAAATCTGATTTATTCAGCAAATGTTGTATATATATTTTTGTTTGATAAATAATCTGACTCTTATTTTCCCTCTACTTCACCTACAGTGCTCTTTGCCAGAGTCAAATGTTAGTGGGGACCAACCCCCTGCCTCCCTTGGCAGTACAGATGAGGGAAGTTGGATCCAAGTGGATGAGAATGAGGCTCAGCCCACACTTTGGGTCCCAGATCATGCTGCCACCAGCTGTGCTAAGTGTGATACACAGTTCTGGATGGCAAACAGAAAACATCATTGTAGGTATGTGTGACAGTTATGGAGTTTTTGTCTCTGAATATGCATTTTGCAGCTAACTGTAGTTGAACACACCGAAAATTAAAGTAGAGTTCTTTTACAATATACAGGAGCTGGGATGTTTAGGTGATGAGAGAAAGAATACTAAACTATTGCTGAGAATGCAATCAGCACATTAGAGAAATTTTCAATCGAATGTTAAAAGTAATCCAGGATTGTTTTGGTTTTGTTACCCTCTCAACCAATCAGACGACTTATTTGTTAACATTTTCCTGTCCATTGGGTAGATGGCTTCTTTTTTGTTATGAGTTCTCTTTGGCTCCCTGTGATTTTCTCATTTCTCCTGAGTAGCTGTTGTTATTACCACTGATTTGGCTTTGCCACTCACAGTTGTAATTTTCTTCTGATGATATGTAGATTTGCAATGTAAAGGACGTCTCTATCAGCCAATTATTGTTTTGTTTAGGAACTGTGGTCTAGTGTTTTGTGGTACATGTTCTGAGAAGAGATTACCACTGCCGGACGAACAGCTTTACGACCCAGTCAGAGTATGTTATGCATGCTTTGAAAAGCTTGTCACTCTTCAGCAACGGGAGAACGGCCAGCGAAGGCATCCCGAAGTAGCAGGCTCATAATTCATGAGCACCACTGAGACTTTAGTATCAAACTCCACAGACCAACTTGCTCATGAGAATTGCTAGGAACTCTGTTTCAGCCACTGCTGATCAGTTAATAACATTTTTGCATTTTGACAACAGCAGAGAGAAAACGCTGCTTGCATTGCAGTGAAACCATAAACGTATTGAATGAGGTAGAAGGGGTTTTAATGTCAATAAGATAAGTTAGTTAGTTTTCAAAAGTACTTGTAGATTAGTCTGGTCAACAAGGAATAATTTCTGTGGTAGTTAAAATGAAAATTTTTCAATTTGCTTGAAAGAAAGAAATTGGAAGGTATATCAGCGGGGAACCCTTCATTAATTTTCCAACCCCTGAAAATAGCCCTGGTTTAACGAGGCGCTTTTATTCTTCATAAGTTTTAGTCAACCTTTCTCTTGCAGTCAGGTTATTGATCAGGTTTTTGGTATGTCCACTTAGGTTTTTGTTTGTAGCAGTTTGTATGAGCAAGTTGGCTTAAAACTAATTTAGATCATGGCTGATTCTGATTTTTAGGGCTGTTTTGATAATGTTAAAAGTAAACATAATATTTAGTAAAGAATTATTTATGTTACAGAATTTTTCTAATAGTGTGGTATCTAAATTGTTTATAGTTTCAAAACTATATTACTTTCATAGTTTCAAAAGGCCTTTTTCTGTATTTTTCGTCCAGATTCTATTTTGTCTTGCATTGATTTGATTTAAGGTATTATTAGGTTTCGTGTACAGAAAATGTTTAAAAAAATTCATGTTTGTTAGTAGCCCGCCATTTTCCTTGAAAAGTAGGAACGTCTGGAATTGAACGAACTCTCCTATGATCAGTATATGTTTAGTCTACTTTGGAGACGATAAATATTTGTTAAACTCTTTTATAGAAGGCTCTCAATTCTAACTTAATGGTTGGTCAAATGTTTTCGTTTCAAATGGATCATGAAATCAACTTTCTCGTTCCTCACTAAGCCTTTAAAACGAGTGCAGTTTTATACAACAACTCTGTACATACAGGGCTTATCGATAGAAGCTCGGATCTTCGTTAGTACTCCGGAAGCCTTGACGTTACCAGAGAGTTTTGACGGCATACTGTATAGCTGTGTTAAAAATACAGTGGGCTCAGTTCATTTTCAAACCGTCACATGTGCTCGTTTTACAGGTTAGAAGTATGAACTTTTTGTGCTGGAAATAATGTGTCGGCGGGATAGCAATGATTTTTCCTAGAAATTTCGTTTCCTAGAAATTAATGTTTTGGGTAGCGTAGCTGGGATAAATGTTGAGTATGAGTTATTGTTCAATTAGAGCAGAACTAGTTGTTTCTAAAGCCAGTCAGAGCAGATAAAAGACCACTCTTGATTGGATCGCGCGAGTATTTTGCCGCGCTAGTCTCTGCTTACATTCGCTTGGTTGGAGTCTTTACCTTTGCTGCAAGTTCGTAATTCCTTCTTATCCAAATGTTCTGTTAGTCTCCCAGATAGCCTTCGTAACTAGTCTTCTAGTCTTGGACTAGTCGGAAAAATTAAAACTATAATTGTGTCATCGTTGTTTAATAAAAGTCACGTAACGTGAACACAGGTCTTTGTGTTATCTTGTGGGGTTGTAATCTTGACAACTTGGGCATCTTTTGGTTAACCCTTTAAGTCCCACCAGTGACCTGGACAGAATTTCTCCTGACAGTATCGGTACGATATCAAGCAGACAAGTAATGAGAATAAAGAAAAATATCATATATGATGGATCCAATTCCAAATTCTCCAAACTAACATCACATAAATTGTGTAGCAGACAGTAAGGAGAATTATTAATGAAATCTTGGGGGTTAAAGTACTGGAAAGTGACAAGTGTAGTGGGGATTGGGGAATATGAAAGTTTTTTGTCTTTGTTGTTATTTTTGTTTTTTGTTGCTGTTGTTTTCTTTTCTTCTCTCTTCTTCTAAGCGATTATCTTTTTCCTCTCTGATTTTCCCTACACCTCTTCCCCCGTCACTTTCCTAATGGTCTATAGAAGTGTTACTTGCGTGGTAGAGGGAAACCAACTTCCCCTTTTTGGCGGCGTAAGCCTGGTGCTAAGAGAAACTCCCGCTGTAGAAACATCTGCAGGGCTCTGCAAGGCTAATTTCACTCAGTTTTTGAAATACAAAAGCTCGCGCAATTTATTTCAACCGTTGCTAGTTGTTATAGGATATGTCACGGGATATATGTATTGAAAAATCTTGATTCTTTTGTAGTTTATTACAGGTCATTAGGAAAAGAATTAAAAAAAAGTCAAGGCTGAATCATAATATTTGTCTGAAAGGAATATTATTATCACTTCCAATCTTCAGTTTTGTTTACGTAACGTGTGAATTAATGAACAAATACTAATTTTTCTGCAAGAGATTATATATTTTGCTCTTGGAAATAATTCTTTAAATTTAAATATCAGTTTACCCGGTATCGCCGTGATGGTCGATTCAAGTCTACGAAATGATGGTCTTTAGATTATACGACGTTTTTTTTTAAATAAATAAGGCGGTTTGCGGAAATTAGATAGCCGATTTTAAATTGTCTTAATTAAAGATTTGCGCGCCCTAAGAATCTTGGAGCAAATCAGAAACGAAATGACAGCTTCTAAACATTAATTGCGGAAATCTCTGTGTTTTTCGGTTCTTCTCACGTCTGGTTTTCAAACAAATGTTCCAAAAAACTGACTTCATGCAAATTACACATCCGTGCAGGAAAATATAAATAAATTCATCAGAGCGTTGGTAATCAGCTTCATTTTCAGCCAGTTTATTATTTGCAACTCTGTTCGTGACAAGCCTTTATTTTTCAAGATCGAGGATGTCACAGAATATACCGAACGGTAAGAGTTTTATTTCATTATTTTAATTTTCGTTGATCTTTTAATATCTTATGAATCCTACATCCTAGATCGGTGGGTAGCATCAAAACTGTAACAGTAACTGATAGCGCCCACTTCATTTAGTCAGTGATTAGCAATGCAAAAGTCTTTCAAAATGCACAAAGACATTTCCCACATGATCATGAAAACATTAGGCGATCCAAAACCTGATCCAAAACATTTGAGGCGCCTGAAGCCTAAACCGATAGCATCGTATTATACATTCAGCTGCATTTGAACATCCTTTGAGCTTACATATGTGAAAAGTCGGAGATTTCAAGGAGTCGCCAAGTTCCTAATCCACAGGAGGTTTTTTACTGCATGTTTAAACCTACGGCGGATTAAATCTATCTTAAAATTGAAATTGATAGGGAGACTCTAAAAGTGATAAAAGGAATTCTAGGCAGTTTTTTCTTGTCATTCGTCATTCGTCAGAATATCTTACTGACTGGCTTATATTGTGCCGGGCGTGAAGATAGTTAGCGATTAGTGATGACGAATGGACCAGATGCAGTGTGGTACGAACGTTATGACTTCGAGTCAGGCATTTCCTAGCGCGGCCCGATCTAGCTAAATAAATAAATATTTTACTGTATGGCCAACGTTCTATTTCTTTTTTCCTTTACTCTTGCATTCTGTAGCTCGCAGGTCCGTGTGCAGGACCGCGAGGCTTTTTATGGCCTTTCTCACGCCATTAAGGCCCTCGTTAAGAACCTTTAACGATGTTTTTAATTGAAGCCCGTGCGGCGCCTTGCGGAAAAATATTCAGTATTTTGTTCAGAAATCGTTTATAGTCTTGAATTTTGCTGTACACGTCTAACGTTTTCGTAAAACAGAGGATCGACCATAGCAGTTTTGTCGTGTTATAAGTTACTAGAGAGGTATCAGACCCGATTTCTCATCTCTGGCTCCAATATTCAAATTCTCTAAAAGTTTAAAAGATTTCTCAAGTTTTTGGCGAAAAATTTACTTTGCTGGCTTCTTCAGCTTTGATGGCATCTTATTTGTTTATTGCTTGCTCAACTTCCATTCGTTTTTAAACAGGGAGCGGTCCGTTCCATACAGAAGATCTCCCTCGACGCCGCAGAAGCAGCGGCACCTTTCCTGGAGCGGGTAAGTTAGAGTCCTTATAACACAGAAAACAAAATAAAAAAAAAATTATATAGGGCAGGTGTTCTCTGGTCCTGTCTGGTTCGGTCTGAACTAATTACAGTAAGGTGGCTCTTTGAGCTATGCAAATTTTTGCTTAATCACAAAAACTTTAAAAATGAGATTCACCAGATCTCGATAATTTGAATTCAAAACAAGTGCACGTGACAGGCTTCGAGCACGTGACACGGGTGTTAATGAATCACACGATTTGTATCTGATTGGCTGAAAAAGTGGCAGGGATCGAGTCTATAGGGCAGTTTTAAGGCTCGATCAAAAGCATGCAGCATTTCAACGCAACCTCTTGCAACATTGTTGAATCTTGTTGTGAGATGTTGTGAAGGAGCTGGCCAAACGAGCGCGACATCTTGCAACATCCAAAAGTGTTGCAACAAAATTTTGACCATTTTCAAACTTGATCCTACACCATCCACTCCATCCAATCCTACACCAACCACTAACCGGCGTTACCACCAGCGCCTTTGTTCGGAGGCTTGGCATATTAACTCCGCCCACGCTCCTTTAAATCGTGACGATGGCAGTTTGCTTCCTGACGCCAATTTACACCTCGTCAGAAAAAAGGCCGCTGACTAGCGATCATATAAAAGGACCTCTTGTTGCAGCGTTTAGATCACCCCTGATGAAGGCACTATACAGGAGTGTCGAAACGTTGGGTCTATGAATTGTAAATTCTTCGTTTACATTCAATAAATCTATAAACCAGAGTAGCATCAAACCATGTCTGACCATCCAACATGTTGCAAGATGATGCTACCGGGTGGTCAAACGTATGCAACACGTTGCGCGCAACCATCTTGCAAGATGTTGCATTGAAATGTTGCGTGCGTTTGACCGGGCCTTAAAAGCACGGCTAGACAAGATCAAGGTTTCGACTGTCGACAGAGAATTTTCTGAAATCCGTGGATATAGATAGTAAAGGGGGTAAGTTTCTAAAGAAACGTGATGCTGCGTCGGTGGAGGAGTACAACATGATAATTTGGTTCTATTAACTGAGTTGATGATGTAAATTGGTCAACGTAACAAGTTTAAAAGCTTACCTTTCGAGCGTTAGCCCTACGCCATTCGCTCTGACGAAGGGCTAACGCTCGATACGTCAGCCTTTAAACTCCTTAGGGTGTCCAATTCACATTACCAACTCAGTTGGTCAAACCAAATTATCTCGTATTCAATAATTAGGAAGTGAGTCTTCTCCATTATTCATCTTAGGATCTTCAAATCGGCGACACTCAGCGTCAAGCAACCGAAGTCAAGAGGAAACTGCGCAGCGACGCCTGTCCGAGAGCAATCGACCTCACGACGGGCATCGGCGTTTATCTGAAGTTAGCCGAGTCAGTCACGAAGAACAACGAGTGAGAAAGAGATCAGAAGGTGAATGAAAAAATTTTTCAGCGGTAGGTACATGAAAGGCAAGCCACTAGAAACTGGGTTAAGGAGAGGGCTTTGAATTCTTGTCTCGCAGTTTGCTCTTGAGAAAGTATGTAAAGGTTAATTAAAATTCATTCAAATTTTTGCAAAATACCTCCTGTTGTTGTCATCGGCTGTAACTTAAGCCAGCTAAAAGACAGCTGACATGTTGGTAATTCGTTTTGCAATTACATCACGTCGGAAAAAAGTCGTCTTACGATGTCGATGCTGTTGCGCTTTTCCCGTCAAAATAACGCGGGTTCGCGCGCATCCTGGAAATTCTCGCGCAACTTTAATTAATCTTTCATTTGCTTGTTACGTTTGTATCTCGCGCAACTTTAGCTGTTCTTTCGTTTGCTTGTTACGCTTTTATCTCGCCCAACTTTAATTGTTCTTTCATTTGCTTGTTACGTTTTTATCTCGCGCAATTTTAGCTGTTCTTTCGTGTGATTCTTACGGTCGTATCTCGCGCAACATAAGTTGTGCTTTCATTTGCTTGTTACATTTTTATGTCGCGCAACTTTAGCTTTTCTTTCATTTGCTTCTTACGTTTTTATCTCGCGCAACTTTAGCTGTTCTTTCGTTTGATTCTTACAGTCGTATTTCGCGCAACATAAGTTGTGCTTTCATTTGCTTGTTACGTTTGTATGTCGCGCAACTTTAGCTTTTCTTTCATTTGCTTGTTATGTTTGTATCTCGTGCAACTTTAGCTGTTCTTTCGTTTGCTTGTTACGTTTGTATCTCGCGTAACTTTAACTGTTATTTCGTTTGCTTGTTACGTTTGTATCTCGCGCAACTTTAGCTGTTATTTCGTTTGCTTGTTACGTTTGTATCTCGCGCAACTTTAGCTGTTCTTTCGTTTGCTTGTTACGTTTGTATCTCGCGCAACCTTAGCTGTTCTTTCGTTTGATTGTTACGTTTGTGTCTCGTGCAACCTTAGCTGTTCTTTCGTTTGCTTGTTACATTTGTGTCTCGCGCAACCTTAGCTGTTCTTCCTTTTGCTTGTTACGTTTGTGTCTTGCACAACTTTAACTGTTCTTTCGTTTGCTTGTTACCTTTGTATCTTTCGCAACTTATGCTGTTCTTTCATTTGCTCGTTACGTTTGTGTCTCGCGTAACTTAAGCTGTTCTTTCATTTGCTTGTTACGTTTGTATCTCGCGCAACTTTGGCTGTTCTTTCATTTGCTTGTTACGTTTGTATCTCGTGCAACTTTAGCTGTTCTTTCGTTTGCTTGTTACCTTTGTATCTCGCGCAACCTTAGCTGTTCTTTCGTTTGCTTGTTACGTTTGTGTCTCGCATAACTTTAGCTGTTCTTTCGTTTGCTTGTTACCTTTGTATCTCGCGCAACCTTAGCTTTTCTTTCGTTTGCTTGATACGTTTGTGTCTCGCACAACTTTAGCTGTTCTTTCGTTTGCTTGTTACGTTTGTGTCTCGTGCAACCTTAGCTGTTCTTCCGTTTGCTTGTTACGTTTGTGTCTCGCACAACTTTAGCTGTTCTTTCGTTTGATTGTTACGTTTGTGTCTCACGCAACCTTAGCTGTTCTTTCGTTTGCTTGTTACGTTTGTGTCTTGCACAACTTCAGCTGTTCTTTCGTTTGCTTGTTACGTTTGTATCTCGCGCAACTTTAGCTTTTCTTTCATTTACTTGTTACGTTTGTATCACGTGCAACCTTAGCTGTTCTTTCATTTACTTGTTACGTTTGTGCTTCGCGTAACTTAAGCTGTGCTTTCATTCGCTTGTTACGTTTGTATCTCGCGCAACTTTAGCTGTACTTTCATTTGATTGTTACGTTTGTATGTCGGGCAACTTTAGCTGTTCTTTCGTTTGCTTGTTATGTTTGTATCTCGCACAACTTTAGCTGTTCTTTCGTTTGCTTTTTACGTTGGTATCTCGCGTAACTTTAGCTGTTCTTTCGTTTGCTTGTTACGTTTGTATCTCGCGTAACTTTAGCTGTTCTTTCGTTTGCTTGTTACGTTTGTGTCTCGCACAACTTTAGCTGTTCTTTCATTTGCTTGCTACGTTTGTATCTCGCACAACTTATACTGTTCTTTCATTTGCTTGTTACTTCTGTATCTTGCACAAATTTGGCAGTTCTTTTATTTTATTGCTACGTTTGTATCTCGCGCAACTTTAACTGTTCTTTCATATGGTTGTTAGACTTGTATCTTGCACAAATTCAGCTGTCCTTCCAATTGATTGTTATGATTATACCCGGGAAACTTTAGCTTTCCTTTCATTTGATAGTTGCCTTACTTTCTCGCGCAACTTTAGCTGTCCTTTCATTTGATTGTTACGCTTGTATCTCGCGCAACTTTAGCTGCCCTTTCATTTGATTGTTACACTTGTCTCTCGCGCAAATTTAGCTGGCTTTTCTTTGATTGTTACGTTTTAACTCGCACAACTTTAGCTGCCTTTTCATTTCATTGTTTTATTTGTGCGCCCCCTGCAACTTAGGCTCCCGTTTCTTGTGATTGTTACGTATCTCACGCAAGTTTAGTTTCCTTTTATAGTTACCTTTGTGTTTTTATTTGAGAAGTATGTTCTATATCCCTGTGCAAATCAATCAATCTTCAGACCGCTTTAATCTTATCGATGAGTTTTGCTAGTATGGGATATTTTTAATTTTCAAAGCTGTATTCAGTTTTTCCCCATTCGGATAGAAAAGAGTTGAACGTTTTGTTTAACCGACGAGGACGATATATCGTCATTTTTCGTATAAATAAGAGAATAAACATCATTTCGGTACGAAAAGGGAGAACTTCTATTGGCTAAGTTTTGTGATATCAATACGGTTTTCAAACAAACGCTTGACACTGACAAATAGAACTGATAAACTGTTGTAAACAGGGACGGATGTCACCAGTCATCAGCCGGTAGCGGAAGACTATCACAACAAAGCTGAATACGTTTGATTAAATTAAATTTACCAACTTGAGACACAAACGTCAAAGCCGTCTTTGTAGAGCTCGCTTATTGAATATTCAATAACAAATGGTGCTTAGTTTCGATCTGTAAGATTTTTGTTTTCGTCATGTCGACAAAACCCATCGAAAACAGTGCCCGTGATCTGAAACCAAAACACAATCGATCGGCTGCAAGTAACCGTTCGCCGACTCCAGAAAGGCGCTCCAGACGAACTGCTAAAGGAGACAAAGATACAAGCAATATAAGTAAGTAATATGTTCTTTGTCATGGACTTTCGTAAAATTGTCGAACTGGTCGTTTCAATTCGATACCTATTGACTGCAGAAGAGGGAAACTAAAGAATCAACGATTGACTTTCTGAATAACAAAAAATTCCAAAAATCAAATTTAAAGACCAACTTAAGGAAGGATCCATAATGTTATTGCCAGACAGGTTCATACGACTTCATTTTGACATCACCTCAACAGTAATTGATAAACGCTAAATGATTTCAGATCCATCTGAGAAATAAAAATCACAGCATCTAAAATGGAAAGAAATTGAATAACAGACGCATAGGATAAACTGTGCTTTTTCAGAGAGTTTTAATTCTTAACAACAAACTTGAATTAACCACCTGACTTTGGTAATTAAAAACACCCTCTTTGAAAAATTCATTGCTCTTGGCCGGTTTTTTTTTTTTTTGTTGCAACAAATTTGCATTTTGTAGATTTGGTTATAAACAGAGCTACATTGAAGTCGTTCAATCCACAGCAGACTCCGTTACAGCTATCTAAAATGAGATATGCTTCTCAACGTTTTTTTTTTTTCGTGAATGAAAACAATCGTTTGAAAGAAAAGGAAAAAAAAACAATGTAAATGTTATCGAATTAACAACACCATGTATATGGAACCTCTTCATGCGTAATCAAACTAGAAAGAAAACGAGTCAGTCCGGCAAAGCATGAAGTAATTGTCAATATTTCAACGAATAAATGTGTTCGAAACAAAACAATTATTCCATAGGCTTACGAACATTGATTCAGTTTTCAAACTTAATGAGGCTAGCCGATATGGTATTATCAAAAGTTAATCAATTCTACAGCCTTCCCAGGTGGAAACTCAAAAGATGTCAGTTTGACATTATGGCTGCGCAATGAATAAATAAGCTTCAAGCTTAGGCATCTATGACAACGCAAGTCGCAATTTAAGTATGGACTTCTTTAGAATAATATATTTTTTTCTCTATTTCCTACTCTCGTGATAAGACGGAAAAACATCTTTCTGTATTTACTACCAACATTGAAAATTACCCGTGAAGCTCGTGGGTCTCAAATCCGGACGATTAGGGAAGCAAACGCACGAGAGGTCTTCGAGATCTTTCACGCTCCTATCGCACGCACGCTCGGGGACTTCGCCGTTCGAGCCGGGTTTTGCGACGAAGTATCGATGCAGACTCCTTTAGTACCCAACCCCTCGCCCAGGCCTTGGAGAATCATCCTGTCTGTCTCTCATGCTTTGACCTCTTCCCACGTTTGTCTCCAACACAGCTTTCTGTAGAAACGAAAGAGGAGCAACAAAGACAAAAATTCTATAGATTTTCGTGGTATTTTAAACATATCGTTCGAAATACCTCAAAACAGGAGCCCATAAGTAATGGGCTCCTGCTCGATATAAACTTTCCCGATATTCATTCTGGAACATCCTTTTAAATCAAACGAAAGATGGCTAAACCTTTTGAGAGTTCAAATCAGAACTTTTTGTCCCACATAAATTACAAGTGAATTATTTAAACAACTCTCTTTTCAAAAAAATTTCCCGATAATTAAATATCGTCAAATTCTATTGGTCAGTTTCTAAGCAATTGCTTTAACAACCGGAAACATGACCGTCTAGGGGACTGGTTCGAAATTTGTCGCATAGCGTATTCGGGCCGATTAAAAAAAAAAAAACCTCATTTAAAATGTAAATTTACAGCAGTGTGGACTTTCGGTACTTATCATTAACACAAGGAAATTAGATTGCTTTGTTGAATCGCCTTATTACGACTTTTATTTTTCATTTTTCATACTTAATACCGCCCCCGAGACTTAGTAGACTTAGCGACAGCTGTCACTGTCTTCAGTGAGGGGTTCTTATCAACAATTCCCAATAGTAAATATAGATACCTGACGAAGTCTTCTCTGAGAGCGATAACAGATGTCATTTTCACCCTGCGGGTTTTTAACAACCACAGAATATCCCCTCTACCGTATCAATATAATTTCATGTTCGTATTTAAGTGCAGTTGTAGCACTTTGGTCGTTGTTTTGTGTGATCTGTTGTTTCTCGCGCATCGAACTTAAAGATGAGTTTGAGTGGGATGTATAACGGAACCCCAGGAGGAGGTAAGCGTCTGAGTCCTTTTTAAAATGGAAGTTTTCTTTTTAACACGAGACTCGCACTATTACTCCGAATATCATTGGCTTTGTTAAAGATAGGAAAAATATTACAAGAAATTTTGAAATAGCTTCAATTTTTTTTGTTAAGATATTTCTGTTATTTCCTTTTTTTATATCCACCCGCAACTGAATACTGAAATTACTTTAATTACATCACAACGCGCTGATATGTCGCCAGCGAAGATAAATTCACTTAAAAAAACGCGATAAACCCGTATATTCTATCAGCGGCGTTTTTGTTTCATCAGTTTATTAAGCTAGTGAAGGTAGCGGCTCAACATTTAATCACAATGCTAACAGCGCCTTAAATTGTGGCCTATTTTATATCCGTAACTTCAAAGTGCGATTCGAGAATTTTAACGGCTTTTGATATGATTTAAGTTGTACGCAGTGGGAAAAATTATCTGGCTATGAATTGACGTAGTTTGAGACCAATATCCTGCAAAGTATGAACCGTATGATCAGGTTTTGAAAGCGAGAATAGAACTTGCATAGTTCCCTTTTGTTTTCAAAGGAGAATCACCATTTCTACTGCGAACAATAATCAGAATTGTTTTCTTTCATAAATTACTGAGTTGCCTGTTGCCAAGCGACAGACGTCACAACTCACGTCGTATCCGAAGGTGGAGTCCTTCCGATTTTTCGTCACTTGTTAATTAAGATCGGGAAATCTCCGAGCGTTTTACGAAGAATCAGGCGCGAGTGTCTGCGCCCTCGACTGCACAAGTGTAAACTTTCTTGAACTTTTTTCTGTCAGTCTAACGGGCCATTTGAAGTAGCCACTCAGAACTTATTTGATTTTCACAGAGTATTTTTGTCGTCTCGCAAGCATGGGGTAAGAAGCTGCGGACGTTTGCTCATTCATTATTAAAAATTTCCTGTCAGGTCCCATATCAAGCTTTAGCTTTTCACCGGCCTGTTAAAAAAAATCGATCACAGACACCAGCAATCTTATCCAGAATTATTGTAATCGATCTGCTCAATCTTCCAATAACTTTTGTGACAAGGAAATGTCAGGCACGACTTTGTCGAGGTCCTCTGCTGGGCGTCCAACAAATCGAAGGCGAAAGAAAACAGGTACTCGGAAGCAGATTGTTGTTTTTTCTGGTTGAAGTATCTTAAGATGGTAAAATTCAAGTGGTAAAATGTTTTCAATTACTGAAACAATTTGAAATTGTGGAATCTTCTCTTAAACGTTAAAACCAGGCTAAGAATTGATTTAGATTTGTCAGGCGCTTAATCGAGAACAAAGGTATTTATGAAAAGCTTTTCTGTTTAGAGATGATACAGTACTCTCTAACAGCACGTCGAAAAGCTAAAGAAACATGAACAAATTCAATGGTAGCTGATCTTACTGAGAATTCTGTGAAAACTGTTTGAGCGAAATGACACATTTTAAATTTTTTTAGTGGGAAGAAATTAAATTAGTCGCTTAATTTAAATTAGTCGCTTATGCATACAGTTTCGACGCACCTTCTCATAATCAATTTGGTATTTTCTGTTTATAAAATATTGCTAGCTAATCAAACCGTTCACTTTGCAAGTCCACAGCATCTTAATCATTTATTTCAATTCGCAAGGTTACCACGTTTTGTGAATCGAAGTATTCCCGTATCCTTCATGATACAAACAACCCTGGTTAATCAACGAAACTTAGATCGAAATTGGGAATGATTATATGTATATCTATCTGTTTTTTCATTGGAATTACATCGGAAAAAGCACAAGTTTGCCGCCGGTTTCCAGACATTTTAAAACTTTAAAAAGTCAAAACAGCTAAAAATTGCAAAATTTGAAAAAAATACGAAAATACAAAAAATAAAAATTAAAGGAAACAAAGGAATTAGCATAACTAGACTTTTCAAATAGGGGTTGTTATGTAAATTTCCAGATTCAAACCCTGGTGGCCCGTTTCTCGAAAGTCCCGGTAAATAAACAGGTCTGAAGTTGTATTTTAGAATCAAAATTTAAAGAATAGAGAAGCAGGTACTGGGTCCTTGACAAGTCCATTTTGTCTCTTTAGCTGATACTTTCATTTCATAATTTTCAAAACTTTTCAAGTCCCCATCTTGAATCTTGGGGTTTGAAAAGTTTGAAAAGGTTTGAACAGAACGGCATTCAGGGCCCGATAAATTACCGGGACCTTCGAGAAACGGGCCCCAGTATTGTGATTCAGCTCCTGCTTCATCGCACAGACTTCTCAAAAAGGGAAAATTATTCACTCGTCATATAATTTGTTGTAGAATCGTTTAATAATTGTCCTATCTATAATTGAGTTGTTGAAGCTTTTTTGTCTTACAGAGTACCTACTTAAAACTTAAATTTTATTCGCAGCTGCAGCATCGTAGGCAGATGATTTTCGCTGGTTTTCCATGCATTGTATTAGTTGTTTACAAAATGAGAGCAAATTCTCTCTTAAACTATGATTTTTTATACAGCCATGTATCGATTTGTCTCTGTCATATGCACGTATGTTAAATTATTGTTCTATTAGACAGGCGTCTCTAAGAAGCAGTGTTTCGTGTTTTTTCTCATGTTCTAACGGTTATCGTATGGTCACCAAAAATTAATCGTTGTAACGAAAAAAACTTATTTGTTAGATATTTATTATTAATGAGGGAAAAAAAGGATTATTTTCTGTGGACTCACAGTGGTGAACCCCCAGTGGTCAAAAAATGGACGAGTCGCTTAGTGGCGGAGAAAAGTCTTGAAGAAAAGATTTTTTCCTCGTGACTAGCTTTGTTAAAATCAAATCAACTAAGAAAAACTTATTGAACCCCCTGAGCAAGGATATGTAACTATGTTAAGAATCAAGCGAAATTCATATCATCCTTAATCCGTTAAGAGGACGTTTCTTGGGAATCATTTTACCGCCTAAAAGTTAAAGAGAATTTTGGTAAAATTCATGTGTAGCAAAACGAAAAGAAAACACTGAGATTCAAAGCCTTTATAAACGTCCTTTAAGCTGTTAAAGGATACTTCTCAAAAAGATACGCGATGTAAGATTTCTTGTTTTCGTTTTAGCGATCATACAATATTTGCCAGGCGTTCCTAACGTAAGCTTGACTCTCCCCAATCCTCTCATATTCACTCTTTGTAGATCGAAGAACCAAGAAGGAGACTGTTTATCTCGGAATGTTTAGGGCAAAAATTCTAGTTTTGGGACCTTGCGAGGTAAGTTTCTTTGATTTAAAAGCTTTTCTCTTCTACGGAGTTTTGACATTACACATTTTTATTTGCAGTTTGGTATACGTTCGAACGGAGGAAATGGCTCTATATTAAGTTCAGTTTAACGACAGCTGTATAGTTGTCGCTCGTGCTAAATATTTCATTTTCATGTCATTTTGCAGAGTGGTAAAAGTGTTATTGCGAATTTTCTTTCTGATGCTACGGAAACATCAGGAGGAGAGTATCATCCAACACAAGGGGTCAGGTAAATGTCGATCACAAAACATTTTCCAAGTCGAGGGTATCTTGAATTCATGCATGTTTTTATGTCTTCATGGAAACCGTAACCATAGATCCACGTTTCTCAATTTTCGGCCCCTTTAATCTTAGAGGTGATTAATACGTAATTTCGTTCTAAGTTTAAGCTATCATGTAAACAGGTGATAATAATAGATAGGGTTATCATTTGGAGGGTGTTATTTTGGAATAAGACCTATTTCTCCTGTTTAATTGACCGCGAAAAGTAAGGCAGTAAGTAGAGAGAAAATGGATGTTGGTACGTAAAAGTTTAAAAACAATCTGATTAACACTCAGTTTCTCCTTTGAATGGACAGAATACCAGAATTTGTATGCAATGGTACAGAAATATCTCCTGTCAAAACATACGTCTCTGTTTCTCAATTTATAAAATCCAAAGAAGAATACATTTTTCTTTTGAATGGACAGGATACTAGAGTTTGAAAGCAATGGCATCGAAATATCTCCTGGTAAAACTGCTAATTGTGAGGTAGAGTTGTGGGATTGCAGTGGAAATCACAAGTAAGCCCTGATATTTTAATATTCACTATAGTTGGTATTTTTTTTTGCATGTGTAATTTAAAAAGCACACATTAAGTTGCATGACCCAAAGGTGGGACAAAATCAGGGTGCTTTTGCCTAAGAGAATTTCTTATAGTGTTTGTTAGCAATTTCTATATGTAACATTCAGTATGATGATAAGCAGTGTTCTCTGTTGTCCTGGCATGGGAACCAAGCAGATTAGACATGTTCTTTGTGGCATCATTCTATAGAAACAAGGGATTGGCAATGGTAGTTAGACTAGTTTTTGATTGAGTGTTGAAAAAAGTCAGAGATTGCTATGGTTTTGTTTTACTATGCTCTTTGACTGGTCCTGGAAATTTGTGCCACTTTCTCGACCAATGAGATAAAACTAAGATCTATCATGTCCTATTTACTTGAGTTTTCCTGCACCTGACACTGTTTGGATGTTTTTACTTTGAGTTCTAAGTGGCTCCTTGTGGTATTCTCTCATCATCTAATTGGCTTTTGTGATCGCTTTGGTTTTGTTAGTATGACACTCAGTTGAAAAGTGTTCTATCAGCCATTTGGCTATAACCTACCCCAACATGTGTTTTGGATGTTCAGTAGCAAGAAATATAGCATTCTATTCCATCATTGCCTGCAATTTTTTTTATCTTTCTGTAGCTTCTAATTTGAGAGTGATCGTATTATTATTAAAACCATGTATAGTTGCTATGTAAAATGACAGAGAGAGGTAAAATTACTTTTTTTTCAAAGAGTGTTATTAGGAATCCTTTCTTGTTGTTCTCTAAGTATGATGTGGGTATATTTCAACCCAATTTGCTGTATGTTAAATGTAGCATTTTGCCTATTTAAGGTTTTCTACTTGTTGGGCAGCTTTCCAAAAGGACACAAATGGTGTTCTAATCATTTACAATCCTGATCAGTCCAGCCATGACAAGGAACTAGAGACTTGGTAAGGTAGAACTTAGAGCATAGATATATGTATGCTATGTTCCCTCTTGTTTGTTTTGAGCTTAACCCATTAATCCTTAAGAGTGACTAGCATCTAATTTCTCCTCACAATATCACACCTGAATTGCACATGAAGGTCACAAGAATAAGGAAAATGATCACCAGCCAAAAGAGCTATTTATTGTTAAACAAATTCTCCTTGTCAACACCTTAGGAATTGTATATAGAACAGTATGGAGAATTTGCAAACTGATGTCAGGGTGTAAAGGGTTAACCCAGAAGTGATTAACATGTAATTTCTCCCTATTATATCCATACATTATCAAACAAACAGGTAATGAGAATACTCAATCTAATAGGGTAGAAATTGTTAGTACATTATCCTGATTTAACATCAAATTATTGCAACTGGTTTATATGGAAATATGTAGCAACTAGAGGGGACAATTAAAAATCAGTTCTTGGGAGTTAAAGGTTTAAAAGACCTTGTATAGGAAATGCAATAATCTTATAATTTGTATGCAAGAATCCAGACTGGCTTTTGCTGGTTTGAGCCCAGATTAGGTTAGTTTTGTTGCATTCTTGGACATAATACTTCATAGAGCATCTCTCCACCCAGAGCTGGGTTTCTTCATGCACTTTTAGCTTTGTTTGAACTATAAAGCTGAGGAGAATAAACAAGAAGTTAGAATTTGCAAATAATTATGGAAACCTCTTGTTTTTAAGGTACACACAATTTGTGCAAAGTCAAGGACTCAAGGATTCACAGTGTATAGTGTTTGCTCATCGCCGACCATCTGCTGCTGATACAACAAGATCACAAATACGTAAGATAGCATTTTATTTATTTAGATATTGATAGTCTCAAAAAGAGGTTGGCTTTTGACTCAGCCTGGCCAAGGTCCTTGAGGCTTTGTGGGTAACATCACCAAAATAAATCTTTGTCACAAAACATGATGAATATAGTGGGTAAGTTTCTTAAGAAATTGTGATGCAAGGGTACAGCATAATTTTTTTCCAACTGAGTTGTTAGTGTGAGTTGGCCTCTGTAAGGAAATTCTGAAGCTGACATTTCAAATGTTAGCCCTTCCTCAGAGCTCTGACGAAGGGCTACCAGTAATGCTAAAATCGTCTGCAGCTTTAGTAACTCTTTATGGAGACATTCACATTATCAACTCAGTTGATAAAACCAAATTGTTATCAATTTGTTGTCACAATTTTCTATTTACCTCACTCCTGTGGTTATCAAGGAAAAGATAGCAACAACTTGTTTGGGAAACTTATCAAACTGTAAGCCACTTGCTCTGATAAAAGATTAATGCTCAAAACAAGAGCTTTAAAACTCTTAATAGTGGCCAAATTGCGTTATCAATTCAGTTGATTTGATAAAACCAAATTATCTTGTTATTTCCCTTGCCAACACAGCTGCACAGTTTCTAAAGTAACTTGTCCCCTGTAAGCCAGGTAACTTGGTATGACTATTATCCCTTATACACCTTGTTGCTTCATGCCAAATTGGAATAAACTCCTGGAGTTGTGAGTAGAAATACACCTGGCAGTGTCACACAGTGATCATGATAAGTAATGCAAATATGACTGATTGGAGTCCAATTTGGTGTGTAATCTTACAGTCAAGTGACTAACAAAATTGGATGACTGTGAATTGGGAGTTCGATTAGTTAATTACAATGGATGGCATGAATTCTTGTTACCAATTAATTGAAACTATGGCAAAATTTCAAAAAGAAATTATACATTGGTTGTATTATATTTTCATTTAAAAAAACAACAACAACAGATAACTCAGTGAAATGCATGACAACAACACGCACATGATGCATACTGTCCATGTACACAGGTGTGACATGTCAACTCAGTCCTATTACACTGCCCAATTACAAGTATGAGACGTACACTGTCCTATTAGTGTTGAAATCAGGCTGGTGATAACTAATCACATTTGAGAATTTTGTTATAGCTTTGATTAACTTTATAGTACTTTTGTGAATAAGTGCAAGTGATATGAAATACCAGTTGCTTTGATTGCATTACTTTAGCATAGCCCCAACTAGAAAACCTGGCATTATTTTCTAGAGTTGATGCACAACATCACAGATTAAACTGCGTCATTGATTTATTTATACTCATTTTTGGAACAATTTTTTTCCTTTGCATAGCATCTGTACTCTCTAGAGTAACCTGTATACAGACAAATCTGGATGAAGAACCAGAAACAGTCAGAGAAGAATTTCACAACTTCCTTGCAAAGGTTATCAGCAACTGGACTGACAAACGAGATCAGGAAGAACTAAGTATAATGAACACATGAAGCTGTTATTGTCTGAGGAACCAAGAGTTTTTCATCTTGTGTACAGAATAGAGATTTTTATTTCTTTTTTTGGTGACTGGTCATTATCTATTTTCCATTGAGCAAGGTCATTTGGCAACTTAAAACAACTTTGGTACTTTCTTTAGTTGAAAACTTCATGAACTGACAGATGCTAAGGGTAGTAGATAGATTGAGCAGGAACAGTCCCTCAAAATCTTTTTTTTTTGTTATGTTTTTTATTGCAGCCAGTTTTCATCTAAGGTCTCTAAAATGTCTTTATTTATAAACTCTGTGACTCCTTATGCCTTTTGAAAACAGTGCCAAATTCTTAAGGTTACTGTACAAATAAGTGAAGAAGTTAGATCTATGTGATGAAGAAGTTAAAAGTGTTTCAAACTTCTACTCTAACGATATTAATTGATTACCACTGTATGCCCCAAATTTGCCATTTCCAATCTGATTTAATGATAACATTGAGGCTCTTGTAAAATAGTTTCTAGAAACTGTAAATATTTTTTCAATATGTCATGATTTAAGTTATTATTAAATAACGCGTTTGAAAGTTGTTAGCTGTTATCCTTCATTTTTAGTGCTCAGTCTTTTCATTTCGCGTCCATCTTGTCGGTATAAGGATTGTAAAAAAATAATAAACGACGCGAAGCAAAGCGGTAAAAGACGATTGTGACTGAAACGCGCTGCTTCTACACTCGACTCAAACAAACGCAGAAGTAATGTGAACTAACGAAAATATAACTAAACAAGCCAAAATATACAAAATTCAAAATAAAAGCTTATGAAACAAAAGAAGCACTCAGTGTGAGACTAATTAACAGAAGCAACAAGAACACAAATTCTAAACTAATCAATAAACGACAACCACAACTTAAGACAATTTTGTAATCTTGGTGCCTGAAAGTTAGCAAACCAAAAAGGTTTGTTCTCATAGAATTACAAATTCAGTTATGATCAGGAAACAAAAGTGTAAGTCTGAGAGAAATTCACTGAGAAGTGTCGCTGAACACCGTTCGTACACCTTTTATGAACAGAGCTAATTCTGCTACAGGTAAGAAAGAATATGTTGATGAAGACATCTTTGCCCATGTAAAAGGTCATGTAGATGACATGATGATTCTGCCTAATCCTGTCTTTTAAAAGTTTATTCCGAACGTAATGTAAGGTAAGTCAAACAAATGGAAAAAGCAACAAAAAACTTGCACTTTTCTAATACAAACACAAAAGAAAAGAAATAGAGATGGGAGTGACTTACGCAGTAATTAAGTACAAGTTGTGAACTCTTTTTCAAGCTTTTGGACGTGGAGGTGGCATACTAACTACCGACATTGAGGTCAAAAGTAGTTTAAGCACATACTAAAACAGTAAGATAATATCGCATAAAAAGATGATTTTAGCTTATCTATTCCTGCAACGATTGCATATTTTTTTCGGGCACAAGTCCTGCGCGCGTTGCGTGGAGGTGAGTAGCAAAGGATATTTGGAGCTTGAGTAGCCAGACAAAGCGCGTCTTCAACGCTATCTACCGTTTCAGCACATATGCGTTATTGACCAGGTGTGAGGTTTAGATGGCTGAGCATTGGCTGAGTTCTTTTGTTTTTATGAACCTCGACCTTAAAACGCTAAATAAAAGAACGAGGCTAATGTCCAGCCATCTTGGTTAAAAAAGGATTTATCATATAACAAAAAAGATTTCGCTTTATTAAGAGAATGACTTATTTATTTTGAGAGCCTGAAAAGAAAGCCAAGTGTATTTGTAGCACAATAAACCCACCAGAGTCGTTTATGATTACTTTAATTTGACTATCTTCAGCCACTTTTTGCGACTCGATCCCCGAATTTGTCAAAAAATTACGAATTTAATGTTTTTCTTGCGCGGGATCTAAGCACAGTCAGAACACAGGATTCGCTTCATATTGCCCATGGGCGCTGCCAGCGATATAATAAATTCTAATACTTGCTAACTATATCCGAATTAACTAATCGGCGCGCGAAAATCACCATTTGCCTGTGTGGCATTAATTAAGTTTGTAATTTTTAAATGTTTGACGCAAATATTGTTTAAAGAGAAGATAGCCTAACAAAGAGGAGTTGAATTAAGGTTGCAAGGGTATTTAGGTAATTATAAATTCAAAGAAAGAATAAAATTCTTAAGAACCTTGTTGATCTATCATTGCCCTTGAACACGAGACTGCACGATAATTTCTATCGCATTTTACTGAGACCTCGTACACACGGTAGGGTTTCACTCATTGTTAGTTCGCCCTTTACTAGTTTGTCGACGAGCTCGCCTCATTAAGCATGATGTGTTTGCCCCCACCATTAGCTACCAGTTCCCCCTTAAATCTTTAATGCGCTCAGTGAGGAAACGAGTTCCATATTTTGACGTCATCTATGATCTACAGTTCAACAGACGCATGGAAACATAAAATCTATTCGATTCACTTATAGAAGCAAAATTTTGTCAATGGTGACGTTATGTATGCTACGTCTGTCCTGTCCTATATTACTAGATTATAAGTAAAAACCAATCGAAATTCGAGTACATTGTACCTCGAGGTAGTGATGAAAGGGACTGGGAAAAGTGCGCGAATTTAGGATTGTTTGGAGCAGTACTGGGGAGTTAAGTATTGACTGAAATATGGCGGCGAAGATGACATTGGAACAAGATGGTACCTTTTACGAGCTGGAGAGACTACAAGAAAGCGCTAATAGGTACCAAAAACTAAAATAAGTAGGAATAGAATATCCATGCAGACGGTGAAAGATTTTTCTCCTAGTTATGGTGATAAATTTCCTGATAATGGCGCCCCTGTGCTTTCTCGATCTGGTGTTGCGTTGTATGTCTTGACTAGTTTGTTTATGTTTATTTGAATTGATACTTCCACAGGCGAAGTGTAAAGTATGAAGCTGAAAAGAAGGAAAAATCTGAACTAAGTGATTTGCAAAGTAAAGGTTGGTGATGTTTGTATGTAAGAACTTAATTGAGACGCTGTGGTGCAAAATGTACCAACAATAACAACAAAAACCACACCACTGATATGAAATCATTTATCTCTTAAACTGTTAGTGGAACAGCTAAGAGCAAGGAGAGATCAACTCCGCGAGAGGCTAAAGAATGGTCCTCATGAAATTCTACAAGAGTTTTTGCAATTAGGTAAGTGTGACATTCCATAAATAAAAAAATTTAAAGCTGATTTGTGGGAAGTACGACAAAGGGCCAAAAAGCAGATCATGGTGGTTGCAGAAGATGCAGTTTCCTAACGGTTTGCATGGTGGATTTTGCGTCAAGTGGTTCAGGTTTGAGGCTTGGCTGGGTTGTTATACTGTATCCTTGGGCAACCTTCTCTTCACCTAGGAGTGTAGATTGGTAGGAGTGAATTTTTAGGGAAGCGTGATGAAATGGTTGAGGTTACCTCTTGATGGACTGATATCCCATCCAGGGAGAATAGCAATACTCTAGTCCTTTCACCCTACAGAAACCGGATAAGATGCTGCTGAATGGCCTCTTGGCTCAACTGCAAAGTTGATCTTTTTTTTTTAAATTATGGTGTCTATTATGAGATGTTAACAGAAAATAGCAGGATAGTTGTTAAAATGCTGTATTCAACAAAAGTTTTTTTTATTACCAGTGACTCTATGTTGTAAAACATAAAAACAAAAATCTTTTAATTTTGGTGTGAAACTCAGAGAGATCTAGCACATGCACATTGTTGAATTGTCATAAATGTTTTAACTTAACATTTGATATCTTTACTTATCAACAGATGAATCCTCCAGGAAAGATTATTCAGCTGCCTCAAAACAGGTACTATGATGACAAAAATTTTGCTTTAATAACATCAGAGGAATGCTATGCAAAAGAACTTCAATATTGCTAATGAAAGAGCATGATATTTTGTTATAATAATCACTCCAAAGCCAGATTGGAATGATGAGCCTTGCATGCACTAGGAAGAAAACCTTGTCAAATGGGTTTTGTTGTGTACACTTAGATTAGTTTATGAGGTGTAGCAATGATACTGATCTGTAACTTAACATTTAACACCTCACTTTGATGGTGTTCACCTCTTTCAATGAATATCTCAAGAAACATAATATTTTAATAATAGTAATATTTTTCAGAAGTTGAAAGAATCCTATTAAAATACTCTGTTTAGACATAATCACTGAATACAATTTTTCATACTGGTTCAATTTTATTTTAATGATTAGAATGTCCTGACAGCTGTGAGGTTGTTCCGTAAAAGAAAGGTAAGAAAATAAAAAAAGATTAAGTTCAATTATAGCTCAGGTGAATCTAGAGATACAAGGTTTCTTACTGGTCAAAAATAATATCATTTGTTCCCATAAGCACCCCATACAAGGTGATTACATTACTAAAGAAGTGTTTTTACAATGGCCACCTTAGGATTTGTGTTATGTTTGTAAAAGAGGGACTAAAAGAAAGTGCAGTTGCGTTGAAAATTGTACAAGAAATTATACTAAAACATTACTCCCCTCAGGCTTAGAATATGTTTAAATATTTGTTCACAAAATCCCCTTATCAACACTCACGTCACATTTGGTGTGTAATTGCAAATAAATAGAATCAAACCTCTTAAATGGAGCTAACTGAAATGCAAAAAACTATGTGGCTGATCACAGGAAGGAATTGTCTAGTGAGGAAAGGGTATCTCCCAAAACTTCTAGTTTCTGAACTATGAAACTTTTGTTTATCAGCTGTTTCACCTCTGTGAGATGTATAGATAGAAAGGAAATACCCTGAATTCTCATTGATGGTTTTCAACTATGGAAACTTCTTTTTCAGCTGGCTGATCTTTGTGACAGCTACAGGTTGATGGGTATTTCAATAGTATCACAACAAGCGAAGAGAACTTGCTTCAGATTTGAGACCTTTTTCAATTGTAAGTTGAAGTGTTGTTAGTTTTACTTAGCTGAAATATGCAGTGCAGCATATTGGGATTGCAATGACTAAATGATTCACTTTCCAGCTGACCTAATCACAGATTGATTTACTGTTGACTGACTTATCAGTCCTGCTTACTACTGACTACTTTACTCACTCACTGAGTGTCTGTTACTGTCTCACTGTCTCCTTGAAACGGACTGACTGACTGATTCATACACTCACTTGCTGTTTCACTGACTCATTAAAACAGGATGAATGACCTATTTGCTGACTGGCCAATTTGCTGAATTACAGAATAATTGACTCTGTGGCTCACTAACTAACTGACTGATTTAAGCACTGATTTACTGACTAATTAATTAAATAAGTCTCTGTGAGACTCACAGGCCTACTGATGCTCAGATTAAATTATGAATTTATTAAGGAATAACCTGCCCAAATAACTTCTGATTTAATTGATGAACAAGGCAAGTCCAGAGATTTTTGTTGTCACACTTTAAATGTCAAATTTTAATGCTATATATCAACCCTCAGCTAGATACTATGAACCGTATAACCTCGAAGTGGAGTTGAAAGACAATAATTTAAAGGTGAGTTTAAAAGTACAAAACAATTTCTAGGAATTAAGGTCTATTTGCATGATCTTCTCTCTGTCATTCACTCCACATGTGTATGTTATACTGGAGGTACTGTACACAAAGTATACTTTTAGAGAACTAAAAACTGGTGTTGGACCTCTTCTCCTTTACTTGGCTGAAAACGCTATGTGTTTGAAATTTCCCTTCATATAGTCAGTGTTCTTTGTATAAAGGACCAAGGTATTTCCTTCTTTAGATTTTTTCCAATTTTGTTGGTTGATTTGATTATACCTTTTAGATTCACAAGCATACTGTACCTTACTTCATACCTGTTGATGCAATTAGTAAGCAGTACTTAAACACTGACATCAAGGTACCTTGTATCTATACTTTTGTTAATGTTTTTTTTTTCAAGAAATCTCTGTCTGCACATTATTTAGATGGTTAAAAAAAACAGTTTTCTAAAATTGATGTTGTTGTATTGATTGCAAGTAGATTGACAAGAACTGGCTGTGCTTGTTATCTATACAGTTGCTCCATGTGGATTGTTTGATAGTTTCTTTCTACTTTGGTTTTAATGGTTCTCCAAATTATTTACCTGCTTCTACTAAGAAACATTTGGTCATTTTGATTTTCTCCTGTATGATGTTCATGCTACCTTTTTAAATTATTTTAGAGGTTTTTCATGATCATTTGTGAGCATCTTAATGCTTTTGTGGCAAGAAGAGAACAGGTAAGCAAAAATCTTGACTCCCTGGATACTATGTCATAAACCCTTTACACCCTAACATCAGTATGCATATTCTCCATACTGTTCTCCATGTTTCTTAAGTTTGCCAACAAGGAGAATTTGTTAACAATCAAGTGCTTCTGTTCTTGGTGAACAGTTCCTCAATTCTCTCAACCTTAATTTGTGATTCAGTGGTGATATTCTAGAGAGAAATTAGATGTGATTCACTCCCAGGGGGTCCATGGTCAATAATGAAAATTACAAAGTGCTATCAATGTGATTGTAGCAGTACATGTTGTCTTCAGTAGCATCTTGAATGATTTGATATTTTTATAAGTGAGGCCTTCATCTGATGTTTTGTGTGATCATAGGTTTGCCTTTGTCAAGAGCAGCATGGAGATAAACTGGAAGGAGAGATATCTTGCAGCCCCTCGCATGATTTTGTGATGTTGAAATTAAAGGTAAGCATGTCACTGCCAAACAGTTGAGCAATTTGTGAGAATCTAAGTTTAATCCAGGATTGCATTTCTTTAAGCTTAACTGTGCTCTTTAATTGGTCTGGAAAACTTGTGCCAACCTCTTGACCAATCAATTTCAAACAAATCACAACTTGATCAGCTGCAATTTTTTCAGCGCTTCAGGTAACTTGCCTGATTTTACTTTGAGTTTCACTGGATTTTGGGATATTTTCCTTTCCTTCTGACTGGCTGTTATGATTGCTTTAGTTTGGGTCTTATAACACTCAATGTAAAAGGGCTTTACAATTGTCTGTTACAATGTAACTATCATCTGTCTAACCACTATAATGGTTTCCAAAATGTAATCTTTTATTCTCATTTGTCAGGCTGCACAGGGTCAAGTTAAAGGCACCATTGTGAAACTAACATATAGAGGGCTCACATCAACACGACCATCCCATATTGATCTAGTTACTGAAGGTAAGAAAAGATGAATGTACACTGGTGTGAACCTAAAGGAAAAATTAGAGGATGTTAATTTGAGGCCATATTCAAGTAAACAAGGTAGCTTGGTACTTAAATGAAAGTTTTAGAATTCTATGGACTGCAAGTTAGTTCTGAATGGTCTCTTGATTTATGTTCTTTCTCTTGTTTTCAAATTTTATCCTTCCTCAGGGAAAAGTGCCGTAGCATTGAGAAGACTTCAAAGAAAGAGGAAATTTTTCGAAGATTTCTATCTCCACCAAGCCTTTGCTGAAGCTTTTAATGAAGAGTTTGAAACTTGAAATAAATTATTCTTATTTTAAAGGTGCTGGTTTTGTAGGCATGAAAGAATTTTTATCATATTATGAAATCAGCTAAAGTGCTTCCCTATCCCTTACCATGCACAACAGGTCAACAGTGTTCATTTTTATGGTATGTTTGAACTGTTATATCCCTGAATGTTAATCACCCCAGGAATACAAGTTTGTTAAAAGCAAACTCTTTTAGTGGCTGTTGGAGGAACTGTATTGGCAACATTTTATTTAGCTGGAATTTTTTTGCTGCAGGAACTTATTTTACCATATTGGGAACAATTCAATCAAATTAGAACCCACAAAAATTTGATACCCTTGGGTATTGAGGGGTAGCATCCATCACTCTTCTACCTTTTTTAAGTTTTTAACTTAAATGAGCAACGTTTTCAGGAGACCTTCATTAAGTTCTTCCAGTGAAAAGTTGCTTACACTTATTTTCCCTTGGTTGAGGATACACCAACTTGAAGAAATGTTTCTCCCTCTTAGTTCCTTGGAAATATGTTATTGCAATGTTGAACAAACCAATATGGGGTCCTTTTCCCTAGAGCGATTCATCTCTCAGTTCAAACACATTGTTGGTTGCAAGTATAAGATTTTTTGGCAAACTTCTTGTCTTCTTCGCAAGAATGAAATTTCCGTTCCATACTCCCTAGTCCATTCCACTGAAATTTTCTTCGAGTTCACGAATAATTTGTCACGCAACCTTCCTAGGGGGTGCCACCAGCAGAGCGGACTCCAACACAAACAGTTCCAAGTTTTACTTGAAGAACAACTTTCGTTGACTTTCCACCAGGGAACTACGCTCAAATTTTCAGGTGATGCTTGCTCTCCTTTTGCATATACCTAAGCTTCCGGAAAGAAACTACATTGTACGCTCACGGCGCGCATGCCAAATTATGCCGAGTTATACGAGAGAGACCAACACTAAACTTCTAAGAGTTTTTCCAACCATACTGCTCAGAAGCTTTAAACAACCTGATCGCTAAATAAGCAGAATTTGGTATAAGATTTTTGAAGTTTCAAAGAGACTTAATTGTTCTGCGAAAGCAGTTTTGTCGTAATTTCTCTACGGTTGGGCGCGAAACAGTCCGCGAAACATTAAGTTCGGTAGCTGTTTCGTCAAGTGGTATCAGTGACCCGGTGACGACTTCGATTTGACCTTTTCTTCAAGTACTCCTCAGAACATAACACCTGAAAATGGGACAAACAGAGCGCAGTAATTCTTTCAGTACAAAGAACTTTTTATTGAAGCTTTCAAACTGTTACATAGGATGTTGCTTGCAACATTCATGTCTCAGATCATTCGCTATTCGCGACTCTCCGTGAACACCTTCAAGATTCGTAAAGAGAGATTTCAGTGTCTTATTTATTTAGTTCATAGTCGAGTTGGGCTTGACTGAAGTAGTAGTTATCGAACGCTTGTGAGATGCTTGTTATGAAAACACCTCTATCTAATTCACATTTCATCGGTAGCCAAGCAGAATAAGTGTCTGCGAAAATTTAGCTATGGTACAGTTAGCCCCTAGTTGATTTCTGTCGTTTTCAGCTCTAAAACAAGTTATTGTTCTGCACCAGTGCTGCATATTTCTTTATTTCTACGCGTTGAGAGTATTTTTAATATAATTTTTTTACAGTTACTAATGGTAATGAAAATATGTCAGTAATTATCTTGAATAGAAAACAAAGCTGTCAGGAAAACTAATTAAATTGGTATGGGACACTTGAATACAATCGCTCTCTGCCTAGAGGGTGACTTATTAGTAGGGCACCCCTTGCCGACAGTGAGTGCAATTTAACAATGAAGCGGGAGGATCATTCTTTACCAGGATTAAACATATAGCGAAATGTTTGTTTGGTAATCCTAGTGTGTGCAGACTGCTCTTTGTAAAAGCCTGGATTCCAAATTTTCACCTAAATTCAATTTGCAATGAATTTATATATGGAAAGTTAGATGGTTACAACAAACTATTTCTGGTTGTTACTAGATTGTTTTGCATAGTTTTTCTCTACCTTGATTAATTTTAGAGTGGGTAAATAATGATTATGCGACAATTTTTAATATATTCTTGTTAATGTGCTGATGCACAAAGTCATGATTTAATTATGATAATTAAAGCAAATGATTGAGTGAGAATTTTGAAATAATTAAATCAAAGGGTGAAAAGAATAAATCCCTTTGTAGCATTTGGTGCAAAATTAAATTCTCCCTGTTTCATAAAGGAATCTAGGACAATTTAAAGGGGGAATCTAGTCCATCAGAAGTCTTGTAATGCATTTTTCTATTTACCTTTTCTACTACTTTTCATGATATTGAAAGCTTCTTTTCTTTTTGGACTTGAAATTTATTCATGTGAGGATTTATTTACCTTCTCTTTCTTCATCACACTTAGCACGATGGTTGCAGTATTACTGGTTCTTACAAACCATGAAGACATGGGAAACACTGGGAAAAAGACTGGCTGGTATCTTCCAGAATTAGCTCACCCTTACCATGTATTCAAGGAGGCAGGGTACAGTATGACAATGGTTAGCCCAAAGGGAGGAAAGGCACCCTTGGTAAGTTCAATAAAGATTTAACTGTTGCATAGAGCTTGCCTGTGGTGTTGAAGTCTTGAGTGGGTGGCTGTTAATCGTGTTTTCTGTGTATTTAGCTGCTATCTTGGGTTCCTGATAAACTTTCATGGCCAAAAAAGTAAAGGAAACCAGAATGGAAAGTGGAGTGGGGAGGGGGAGGGGGAGGGGGTTTCAATGCAGCAAAGGGTAGGAGAGAGGAGAGTGTTAAAAAAAATTCTTCTCACCTCAGCATCTCTCTGTCTCTCATCCATCCTAAGTACACTTTTAAATGCTTAACATTTCCTTCCTATCCAAACAACACAGGTTTTCTCTGGTCTAGGGCACATCCTTGCATAGACTTAAACTCTTTCACTGCCAAATCCATCAGTTATTCTTCTTACAGTCTGCCATACAATTTGAATGATTTTAGTTTGGAGAATTAGGTATTGGAACAATTAGTAATCCCCTAATTGATATTTTTCTTTATTCTCATCACTGGTCTGCTTGATATTGTATGAATATTGTGAGGAGAAACTCTATCTTGGTCACTCTTAAAGAGTTAAAACAGAGATATAGTATAGATACAAAAGAGTATATAGATATGTGTTATAACTGAGTTGGAATTAGGCATAGAAAATAATATGAATAAACCATCATTAGATATTTTAAAAGGTTTCACAGCTTGTCTATAAGACTTCTTTCAGCACGCCCTCAAGTTATTCAAGAGAAAACTAGTTTATGTTGCTCAGTCATTTCCCAAAATTCTTTTATTGTTTTTTAGTATGAAATGTGCCAAGGTAACATTATGTGTTTGAATTTTAAGCTCCTGAAAAATGTATTTATCAGTCTAACCTGGTAAATCTCCACACATTGATTCAGAGCATTGCCATGCACAAGTAAAGCACTAGTCTAAATTTTTTAAGTTAGCTGGTTTTTGTTTCTTCACTAAGGACAAGAGCAGTCTTGATGCATTTGCAGAGGACCCAGTCTGCAAAGAATTCCTCAAGAGTGACGGAATGAAAGCCACTGAAACCACTTCTACCATTGCCTCTGTTGATCCAGCCAAGTTTGATGTTATCTTTTATGTTGGTGGTCATGGACCAATGTTTGATCTAGCAGACTGTGAAGTCAGCAACAAAGCTGTGGCAACAGTTTATGAGAAAGGAGGGATTGTTGCTGCAGTTTGCCACGGTCCTGCTGGTACGTGAAATAATGATTGCCATACCTTTTACAAAGTTTGAGGTCTGAAATGTCAGTTATGGGCTGATTTATTTCTGCTTGGATTTATTGCCAAAGTGTGAAATGAACAGACTATAAGTTCAAGGGAGGTTCTCCAACTTACATTACAGACTGAGAAGGAGGGTAACAGGATATCTATTATATCTCTGTGTTTAAATAGAGGGGAAAGATTTCAGTTCAGAATTTTTGGAATTTAGTGGAAGGTACAATGAAACACTGCCCACTCAATTGAACAATTAGTGCACATACTAAGAGATATAATAAACAAATCTATTTTAACTTTCTGCTACAAGAAGAAGATTCAAATTAGAAGTGATGGCTCCCCGTTAGTGAAAATCTCTGTACAGTGTTTGGCCTTCAGCAAGTTGAACCAGATTTAGCCATTCAGTAAATGTAAATCACAAATGGATGTGAATGTAAGGCAAGTGAAGTCTTCAACCATAAACCCAATAATTAGTTGGTATTTGAAGAGGAATTAGAATTGTCCATCACAGAAAGATTTCATGTTATTCGATTCCTCTGCAGGTATTGTAAACACAAAGTTATCAAATGGTGAATACCTTGTGAAAGGCAAGAAAGTGACATGTTTCACTGACCATGAAGAAGGCGTGATGAAGCTGGTGGAAGCCATGCCATTTCTCTTGGAAACCAAGCTCAAAGAACATGGTGCAGAATTTGAAAATGCAGAGGCATGGCAACCTTGTGTCTCTGTCAGTGCCTGTGGGAGAGTGGCAACCGGGCAAAATCCTGCCTCTGCAACACCCTTGGCAGAAAAAATTGTGGAACTTTTAAAGAAGTAGAACACTTTTAACCGTTTTGGAAACCTTATAGCAGGCTTTACTGTGTGGTTTCTTGCTAGTAGTGTAGAATCAATTTATGAATTAATTTAAGAGGCATGGGAATTTCAGCTCTTGTGGACAGGTTAATTTGTAACTTTTGGCTTCACTTCTTACTGGAAAGCATTAAGAGGTCCTGCTGTCACTGTTAGTATTTTGAACTTGTATATGTTAAAAGTACTTCCAAGAAATAAAGGGTTCCAAACAAAGTATTTTAGTTGATATCATTATTTATAAAAATGTACACAAATGTATGTGAACTGTAACCTTGTTGTTCCATTGTTAACTTCAAAGTTAGCTTAAGTTTGACATTACCCATAATGGTCACCTACTGTCCATCTTGAAGCATTAAGTCTTAACCCTTTACATCCTAACATCAGTATGCATATTCTCCATACTGTTCTCTATACATTTCCAAAGAGGCTGACAAGGAGAATTTGTTTCACAATCAAGACCTCCTTTAGTTGGTGATCATCTCCTCTATTCTCATGACTTTTATGTTTGTTTTAGGGGTGGTATGGTAAGGAGAAATTAGTTAGTCACTCTTGGAGGCTAAAGGATTAAGTTTGTGTTAATTTTCCAATCCTGTCTAATATTTCCTATCCTCTATCACCCTTACTCCGCTTCGGTTTATCCTTAATTCTCTATACAAGTGATGATCTGAGAATTGAGGCAATATAATGCACCATACATTGTTGTCAGAACTAAAATAGGGATTGAGCCCACAAGCATGACATTCCCCTCATTGTGGATTGTGGGAGAAACTTTGAGGGTTTTTTCTATGATGTTGAAAATGACTTTATCAATTACAACACTGCCCCCTTAAATAACAAACAAATATACCACTGTTATGAAGTCTGATTTAAATTTGATATCACCCGGGTTTATGTTAACTGAAGTTTTGATAGAAAAGCTCTGGACACATTCCCATTGGACCCTTTACTGTTAAATCTGGGGGTCATAAACATGCAGTAATGCACTTCTGTCTATTATAAACATACTTAAAACTTTTATTTCCCAAAACTGAAATCCATTCACATATTGAAAAATTTCATTTACAATGAATGTTGAGAATCATCAGTCTCTCTGTCCATGTTCAGCAGAGCAGTTGAGAGTGACTGAAGGTCTTTCAGCACAGATGTCACCTGCATCAAGTTCATTTCTTCCTCAGCTCCACCTTCTGTAACATGGATGTTCTGTCTTTCTCTTTGTACTGCTGCAGTAGATGGAATTCCTGGTTCAGATTGAACAGGTTTTGCAGCCTTGTGTCTTCTAGTCTTCCCTCTACTGGTTTTTATGGGTGGTTTCTCATCAAGAGGCACTTGCTCTCTGTTTTCTTTCTCTTCCTCCTCCAGACCATCTGTCAAAGAGAACAATAGCAAGGAACAGTAAGCATTTGTGTACAACACCTTTAATTCATAAATGAAGTATCCTCATTGAGAACTTGGATCAAGTTCATGTACTTAAATGAATATCAGTTAGTACAGAGATTGGGAGGAAAAAAGTCTTAACCCTTTAATAATAATAATAATAATAATAATAATAATAATAATAATAACAATAATAATAGTAATAGCAATGATACCACTTTCTTCCTTATAACATTTTGGCAATGTTTCCCTCTAACCCCCTAGGAGTGACTGGCTTCCAATTTCTCCCTAAAGTATCACCCATGAATCAAATGCAATTTACAAATTTCCTGATTGTTGACAATTTCTCCTTGTCAGTCCCACAAGAAATGTATAGAGAACAGTGTGGAGAATATGACTACTAATGCTAGGGTGTAGAGGGATTTTGTCCAATTCTCACCAGAAAACTCCCTTGGTTTATGTCTGGGAACCTTGAAACCCTCCTGTCTGACTGTAGCCATGAGCATATTTCTTTCCTTTTCCACATTTCGCAGTTGTGAGCAGCATTTCTCCAGTTTCATTTCATATTCCTTCTGCTGAAGAGAGAGCTGTTCTGCTGCCTTTTCCTTCTCTCTTTCAACCACTCGCTCTGCTTGCCTGAGTGCCACAACTGCTTTTGTGTGTTCACGTCGCACATCATTGAATTGCTTTTCAAGCTTTGCAAATTCCTCAGTGTATCTTGCTTGCTCTGCTTGTAAAACTTTGTCTAGAGCTGGAGAACGAGTAAAGCCATAAACTGTCTGTTGCTTAAGCATGTTAACAGGCTTTTATCTAGAATAGTCAATGGGTTAACATTTTATTTTTATTTTTTAGACACAAGCATCTAAAAACCTCACACTTACTTTTTTCAGCCACATCTTTGTGTTTTGCCATTTCTGTTTTGAGTGATTCAATCGTCTCCAATCTCTCTGACAATTCAACTTCAGCAGTTTGCAACTTGTCATTAAGGATGGCTCCTCGTTCTCGTTCATCCTTCAAGAACGACTCCAACTGAAGAAATATAACATTCCAGGTGATTTCAATTGTACTTATTCTGATGACTTCATATTACTCATTGCTTGGAAAATATTGTGGAGGACTTGGTCTCCTAATTTATATTAACCCTTGACACTCTAACATCAGTATGCATATTCTCCATTCTATTCTCTGTACATTTCCTAGGGTGCCAAGAAGGAGAATCTGTTCAACAATCAAGAGCTTCATTAGTTGGTGATCATTTCCTTTATTCTTGTGACCTTAATGATTGATTTAGGGGTGATAATGTACAGAGAAATTAGATGCTTGTCACTCTTAGGAGTTTAAGGGTTAAGAGACAGATAGAGAGGCTACAGGAAAAACCAGAGGCTTACATTCAAGGGATCAATATCAGTATCTAGGTAACTGCCCACCTACCCTTCCCCTAACTCAACAACAGTCAATTGATGACAAGTTAAGGCTAATGTTGGGTTAGGGGAGGGGTAGGTGGGCAGTTGCCCAGATACTGATATTGATCCCATTTTAGTCTATTTCCAATTTGTCTTAGTCAAAGAGTAATAGTCCAAGCTAAAAAATGGAGATGAATGAAAAAGAGGAAGTAAGGAAACAAAAATCAACAAGGGTCTGGAAAGGAGTGTCTCTAGCACTCTCCTTTGCCCCCTGCTTTTGCTTTTCTCTCTCTCCCTTTTTTTGTGCTACTGGCATCTCCTTCAAAACAAGAGTCTAGAACAGGTTAAAAGTAAACTTTGGGGTAGACAGTCTGTTACTTTTTGCCTTGGATACTTCTTCATAGGGTTCTCAGCAGAACATGATTATTACCTGTGATATTTTCATGGCAGAGTCATTCAGTTGTTCCTCATACTGAGCTCTAATTACCACCTCTTTTCTCTCTAAAGTCTCTGAATCCTTCCTGGCTTGAGCTAAAAGATGGTCCCTTTCTCTCGTTAGCTGTTTGACCTCTGATACCAATTGTTCACATGACAGACTTGCCTGTGGTTGTTCTGTGATCTCTCCTGAAAAATTAAGGATGCATCAAGAGAGCCTGTCAAAATAAATAATATATAGCACCGACAATAAAAAGATTTAAGAAAAAACCTATGGAAGACTTAATGAGAAAAAATATTTTGTACATACCTTCTGATATTGATTGCCCAGTTTCAGCAGCTTTATTAACTGCTTCTGATAGTTCACTTCTCAACTGTGCCTCACGATGTGTTATAAGCCCTATATAAGGAAACAGTCCTAACATTATGATGTTTGTTTGTTTGTTTTTTGCTTATATTAACACATTTCCTAATAATTAATATCAAAATGTGGCTACTTACAATGTTGTTTTTGAAACCAACTGGTAATGAAATGTGTTCCAAACAGAAACAGAATTGGATAATTTAAAGAGGGCTCCTGTTTTATATGGATTTTCTACAAATTTCTTTCTTGCAACCTCACATCTTTGATGCATTTTCATGAGTTACTAGTGAGAAGTGAGGTTACAAACTTGACACTATTTTTCTCTGCCCTTTGACTCTTAATTATCTGGATACATCCCTTCTAGACAAGTGTTTCTCCAAAACTAAAGGAGAGGTTATGCGACAACCTCTATTGCATTTTATTTATGAGACAGCTTGAATAGTAATTTAAGAGAGGAACTGTGTATCTTTTCTCTCAATTATTTCCACAAGAAATTAAAAATATAACTCAATATATGAATTCAGTATAATTATAGAAACGTGCATATCACCTTGAAGAAATTGAACTCTCCCAGTTGCAAAGCTAATACGCTGAGAAAATGTAGCAAGTTTCTTGAAGGCCTCCTCCATTTGTGTCCCAACATGTTCTATAAAAGATTCCGTCTTTCGTGCAACTTCCTGGAGACTGCTGGAACACATTTGAAATTGTGAAATGAAAGAATTGAGCCTTTTCTCATTCTGCTGACACTTCTCGAGTTGCCTTTCTAAAACAAGGTTTCGATTGACTTCAATTTGCTGTTCAGCCTTCTTGTCAGCTAAAATGTGTGTCAACTTGGCTACTTCCTTCTGAGATTCTTCCAGCTCTGTCATCAGATGTTTCAGCTTAAGATAAAAGACAAGAGTATCAAGATTGGCAGTGTGAGGCTCTCTCTGCTTAACCCTTTAACTCCCAAGATCTAATTGTTAATTCTCCCCTCTAGCTGCCACACATTTCCTTGTAAATTAGTTATAGGAATTTGGCATTAGATCAAATGAAAACAACAACTTCTACCTGATGAGTTTGAGTATTCTCATTACCTGTTTGCTGGATAATGTATGGATATTATAGGGAGAAGTTAAATGATAATCACCACTGGGAGTTAAAGGGTTAAGGTTAAACTTTTTGTTGATGAATAGAATTTTAAGCAAAAGCATTTCACCAGAATCATTATGCTAATCTTTCACAGCTGTTGTTTAACCAAATCAAAGAAAAAAATATTTCAAACAACAGCCCAACACAAGCCCTTATAGGAAAGATTACATTTCATGCTTGTCATTTGACAAAGTGATTGGACAATTTATGCATCATATCTGATATGTAATGAGAAAGTTTGTGTTATTTACACAGTTTCATTTACAGTGAACTCTTGACAGAGATCTCTATGAGAAAAAAAAAACCTCTCTTCTTTTGAAGTCAGTTCTCATGGCTGGTTTTCTTAAGTTACTTTCATAAAACTGAACTCACCTTATGAACCCTAAGGCCAACTTTCCTTTAGGAAGAAAGTTTACATATAGGATTACTCTTCAGTAATACCATAAGCATTTTTTTGAGAAAGTTAACTCTACTTTTCAAAAAACCTTTTGGGATACAAATATCAGAATTTGGTATTGCTGTGGTATTTCCTATTCAAGTAAATCCAGTTATTTTTAATTCCTTTCCCCCAAGGTAACTTACCTGAGCCTTCTCATTTCTTTCTTCTTTCTCACGCATAATTGCTTGTGATTTTAACTGAATCAGCAAGGCAAACACTTTCTCTCTCCATTTTGTAAGCAAACTTTCTCCATCATGCCCTGCACCATCACTTGATTTTGCTTGAAACTTCATCAAATCTTTTTCTTGAATGGAGAGGATTTCATTGATGGATGAAATTCTCACATTAAGGAGTTCCACAGTGGATCTTAGATTTTCATTTTCTTGTATCAAGCTGGTCACAGTTTGCTTTGCCTCTTCATGCTCTTTTTGGAGTTTCTCCAGCTGTGTGTTTGGCAAGTTCTCTCCTATATAAGCTCTTAACTGATCAACAATCAAGCTGTGGGACTTCACTTCTTCATCTTTCTTTTTAAGTTCCTCTGTAAGCAGGCAGAGTGTTTTAAAATTCACATAAGAAAATAAGCATAGGAACAACATTAAAATGTGACTCTTAACTGACTAAAATAACACTACTGCATAGTCATGTTAATGAAAGAAAATTTCCAGATAATCAAAATGAGTGTGTAAATGTTGCTTGCATTGTTCCAGACTTAGTTAAATAATCCCATTCACACCATAGGTCACATTCCCTACCTCAGCCACTTTAACCCCTTTAGCTATCAGATTGGTATGCACGATTTCCATACTGATCTCTTCACATTAATTTTCCAAAGGTGGCAGCAGGGAGAATTTGTTTGGCAATCAAGAGCTTCTTTAGTTGATGATTACTTCCTTTATTCTTGTTATATAAATATGTGATTTGGGGCTATATTGTAAGGAGAATCTTTATTCTTGTGACCTTACTGTGCGATTCAGGGGTAATATCATAAGGGAAAATGGATGCTGTACAAATTTTTCAATGATACTTCAATAAAGGTGATTTTTTTTTATCATAGATTATAGTAAAATAAAGTGAAAGTAGCAGGCTAACTGTAGTAGACTGGACTGTTGTTTTGGTCCCTACCACTTTTCACTTACAGCTCTGATTTCTTCATTACTTAGGTGAAGAATACTATTCATTATGATTGGGTCTTTGTTATTTCAAGATATTTACATGAGGATTGGGTTGATGTGGAAAGATGTGGTGCATGTACAATGAAGTTTTGAATCTTAATGATCAGCATTTTATTTACCTGTCAAATTCTGTAGCTCTCTTTGATGAGAAAGTGTTTGTTCCTCTAGTTTCCTGCTAAGATCTGTCAGAGTTTTATCATAGTATAATTGGCTATCCCTTATCTTTTCTTGATGCTGTTTTATGACTGTTGAACACTCCATTTCTTTTTCTTTCAGTTTTTCCTTAAGATCATTTACCTCCTCTTCTGTAGTAGTCAGTTTTCTTTTTGTAGCAGAGTATATCTCATCTCTACTGGAGATCTCATCTTTGAGAGCATGTAACTCTTTGGCATACTTCACTTCACAGGAATCTAAAGTTTTTTTAATTGCCTTAACTTGCTCATACTTGTCAAATTCATTTTTACTGATCACCTCCTCAAATCCATTCCTGTCAATCTTCACTTGCTCTTCTGCATTTTTCACTTGGGCTTTCAAACTTTTCACCACTGTCATCTGCTTTCTAGCGCGTTTCTCCAAACTCTCCACCTCTCTCTCGAATATTTCTTCCTTTTGCCTCATTTCAGCTTTAAGCTCTTTTATCAACGTGTGCGCCTTCTCTAACTCGGCTTCACATCTTCCTAAATCTGTTTCGAAGTTACTTTTTACCTCTTTAACATCTATTTTAAGTTTCGAGTTTGTAGCTCTAAGCTTTTTAACTTCTGATTGCAGCGAGAGATTTTCCTCGTGAAGTTCAGCCATTTGTTTCAGATCAAGGGCATCATCGACTCTACCCTTCTGCACTAGAAGCCTGCTCTTTCGTATCTCCCCTTCAAGTCGTATTTCCTCCTCTTTAGACCTCTTAAGTTGCTCTCGAAGCTGTCTATTTTCATTCTGCAATATGTCTATTTCAACGAGGACTTTTTCACTTTCTTCGCCCTGATCTTTCACAACATTATATTCAGATGGAGGCAGAAGCTTCCTGGGAGCTGAAGTGGTTTGCTGTGAGGGGATCTTAGGCCTTGTAACTTGGAAATATGCAGGAGAAAGAAATCTGTCTGACGTATTTTTGCTACTACCCGCCATTTTCTGGTGCAAAATACGAAAATCAACCAGGCGCAGTCCCATAAGGCTTTGGAAGCTGTGAATTTCACAACATTTTCACGTGGAGTCAATTTTCCGAGGAAAACACGATGGGAAAGTTAAAGAAAAAGGTATATTTTGACGCTTCTCTAAAATTGTTTGCTGTATTTGGCAATCTGATCTAAATAAATATGCTCACGAATTTCTTTTCAGGGAGAAAGTGGAGCCGCAACAAATTATATATCAAGAAATCAAGCGCTGAAGAAACTGCAGCTCAGTTTGCCGGATTTCAGGTAAAATTTGAGGCTGTTGATCGTCAAATTCACTTCAGTACCTTTTTATGCAAAGAAATACTTTTTCTCAAGTTTTGATTTGTTTCATTTTTAGGCGAATCTGTATTTTGAAAGGCATTTACCCAGTTGAACCAAAGAACAAGAAGAAAGTGAACAGAGGAAGTACAGCAAACAAGACTTATTATTACATTAAAGACATTCAGTACCTTGCACATGAACCAATTCTTAACAAGTTCAGAGAGTTTAAGATATTTCTTAGAAAGCTCAAGAAGGCCATTGCTAAGGAGGAACCAGGTACTGCTCAAAGATTAGTGGACAACAAACCGATTTACAAACTTGATCACATTCTCAAGGAAAGGTCAGTACTTTTTGTGTCATTCAGTGGATTATTGCAAGGATTAGAAAAAATAAAAATTATTTGTAATAATCATTATCTTGAATGGATTGAACTCAGAAATGATATGTTAAACAGTGTAAGGTTAGATTGTATATTTGGATTTTCCACTTGAGGATAGCCCTGAGGGATGCTGTTGTCAGTAGTGGTGACTGACCTTCGGAGGACCATTGCCAACAACAAGACAGTCTTCTCAGGACTATCCTCACACAGATGATCAGAATACTTGGTCAAATGTTAACTATCAGTTCAAACCACTTACTCAGTTCTATTTTAGTCTTGAGAAGCACTGTTTTTGGCAATAGTAACTGATATTTTGACTCTAAATTCTGGTCACAATGGAAAAGGTTTCTCACTGTCACTGACAACTGTCCTTCCAGTAATAGCGTTGCATACATGATTGCCTGACATTTCAGATGGGGTAACGTTATGCAGATCAAATTGACGTTATTGTTGGTATTGTTTGTTATTCATTAACAGTTATTGTACCTGTTAGTTTTGTCAATTTTTCACATTGACTTTCATAATATATTGTACATTTACTATTCCTTTCTTAAAACCATTGAGCTCTTCAAGAGGAGAAGGATGACAAAATGGAATTTTTACCCTTGAAATGTTGTGATCTCTGGTTGTCAACAGTATATTCTCTGTGCATTACTTCATTTATTCAAATTTTCAGATATCCAACTTTCATTGATGCAGTGAGAGACCTTGATGATGCTTTATCCATGGTGTTATTATTTTCAACAATGCCACAAACTGATAAAATACAGGTAATGATGATTTTAATTTTGTAGTGGTTTTTATACAATTTTTTTTCTTTGAAAACATTAAACTTGTGTCAGAAAGAGTTACTTTTGGTATTAATCTTTATTTTTCATATTCTTTATTGACAGGCTGATGTTGTAAAACAATGCAAAAGATTATCTGGTAAGTGACTTTTTCAATTTTGTTTTTAACAGATAATGTTCTTATTGACTTATTAAGACAGATGAAATGTGGTGCTTTGACTTTTAAGTTTGAAAATTTCTGACTCTTGTTAAAATGTCATTATAGCCAAAGTGAGTACCCCCACTCTGATGATCACATTGTCTAACTGAAAAAAAAGGAAGAGTGAATGGATGGGCTGCCTATAGTTTTTAACCCTTTACACCCTAACATCAGTATTCATATTCTCTATACTCTTGTCTATACAAATCAGTTGGTACTGACAAGGAGAATTTGTTTAACAATCAAGAGTTTCTTAGGTTGGCAATCATTTCTGTTATTCTCATGATCTTAATGACTGATTCAAAAGTATTACTGTGAGGAGAAATTAGATGCCGGTCACTCCAAGGGTTAAAGAGTTAAACCAAAACCAAGCTGAAATGAAAGTAGTTTCTTTACATTTTTGTGCTTAGTTAATTAAGAACCACTTTGTCATTCTGATACTTCTGTGTTTGTTGCAGTTGAATTTCAGCATTACATCATAGCATCTAAGTCACTAAGAAAGGTATTTTCATAAAGTAAACTTCTATTAACTGATTTGTGTTGTCCTGTGGTCTCATGTGTTGGTATTCCTTACTCAAGATTGATATCTCTTTCAAAGGTATTCCTGTCAATAAAAGGAGTCTATTTTCAAGCTGAAATCCAAGATCAACCCGTGACGTGGATTGTTCCTTACCAGTTTTGTCAAGAGGTAATAATAGAAGCTTTTTCCAGTGTTACTGTTTTGAGCTGCAGCTTTCTTTTTTTATCTTCAATTGTAGACTTGTGTTTAAATCAGTTAAAAAAAGGTGAACTCTTTAACTTCCAAAAGTGATCAACAAGTAATGTCTCCCCATATTATTCAAGTATTACTCAGCAAATAGGTAATGAGAATACTCGATCTAATCAGGTAGCAGTTGTTACCTTGATCTAACTTAAAATTCTCATAACTAATGTGTAGCAGCTAGAGAAGAGAATTAACATTCAGATCTTGAAGGGTTAAGTCTTTACATGAGTGAAGTAGCGCATCCAGCTGGATCTTATTCTGGATTCCATAGCATAAATTAACAAAGAGTATTACTACACACCCCTCTCCTCTGGATGGGATGTTACCCCCCAGCATTTCATCAGCCTTTTGTGACAATTCATTGGTACACATTTGTACATAGGTGGAGAGTGGCACTGTGAGGGTAACGTGTCTTCCTCAAGAACACAATAGATTGACCTGGCCAGGTTTCACACCTGGACTTCTTGACCCAGGAGTCCAGCACACTAACCATAAGGCCAGCATGTCTGCTTTAAACCAGTTAACTGGACACTAATTGACAATGCCAATGGTGTTAGCCATGTTAAGACTTGCTTGTGGTTACATAGGTAGAGGTCATATGTCAGCTTTTTTTTTTGCAGCCACCAACAGATGTTGACTTCAGAGTGATGCTGACTTTTGTAGAGTTCTACACAACTATGATAGGATTTGTGAATTTCAAATTGTACAACATGTTGAACTTACACTACCCTCCCAAGGTAAGTTCATCCTTAACTGCCAAGATTTTATTGGAAATTCTCCTTTTCAGCTTTATACATTTCCTCTGACTGTCAAACTCAGAAACCAGATGGTTTTACCATACTCAGACAACTAAAAAGCACTCTTATGTATACCATTGAAGTTACTAAAGGGATTAACAGATGTGGAAAGGTTTATTCATCTCTATTGCCAACATTCCTGACATTCCTTCAGCTTGGAAATAAGTTCTTTGGTCACCTGATTGTGGACTGTGATTTTAGTATCAGGTTGAATCAGGAAACTGTAAATATGATTAAGATGTATTAGCTTTATGCTTCTTCTTTGTCTTCCCACCCTGAATGTGCAGCTTGCTGGTGAATACAATAACACAAGTAACACAGACTATTGTGAAGATTCAGAACTGGAAGATGAGGTGAGACATTTCTTCACTGGACATACATCTATTAGTTTCTAGCTGACTCAAAAAAATATTGAACATTTTGCATGTTTCTTTATATTAATCAAACAGCTGATCTGGTGCAATCAAGCAGTCGCTTCAATGATATGCTTTATTTGAACTTTATTACAGGGTTGTAGCTGAGAAATTAGGCTGGCAGCATTTGGCCCAGTGATCTTTAAGCCAAAAATCCAGCTGACAATTGCTGCTTTTTCATTTGGCAAACTTTGGCAGGCATGCTACATGAGGAAATTAAAATGTAATGAGCACCAACTGGAGTCAGTGGGTGTGTGAGTAGAACAACCTATATCTCTACAGCTCATCCAAATTTCCCCAGGCATGAAGTAACAAGGAGTTTTACTTGTGTCCTGCAGACCCCCTCCCTAGAGTCCAGCACACTATTCACCAACTGATTGTGACTAATTAATACTCTCATGGTTATTCCCTTGTCTTTGTCAATTAAGTATTGCAAACCCTGGTCTTCCTAAGCAATTTCTCATGGGTATGTTTGTCTTATGTTTTCTTATAAGGTGCTGTCTGCTTTGAATCAAAACTTGTCAGTAACAGGTAGGCATGTCAACATATTTCTTGGAGTAACCATTGTCTATTATCTCCCCATATAGTCACCCCTGAATCAAGCATTAAGGCCATGAGAATAACAGAAATGATCACCCACTAAAGAAGCTCTTTTATTCTAGAACAAATTCCCCATATCAGTACTACAGGAAAATATATTAAGGACAGTATGGAGAATATGCATACTGATGTTAGGGTGAACACTGGTAAAGGCCATGGCCACCCAAACAACTTGTGGTTGACCTACACCTTCCCTGTGGGATTTGTGAAGTACATGAAATGTTAATGGTGCGTTACATGTAGTTTTTTCCTTTTTATTTTCAGCTCAGGATGATGATGTTGAAGTAGATGAATTTCCTGTTGATCCTGAAGTATGTTGTGTTTTTAGTAGAAGATATGTTGCTGGTTATATGTATTCTTCAACATTAATAACATGTCAGTAAATAATTGTCCTGAAGTTTGCAAGAGATGTTAAGAAACCATCAAAATATACTAATCTGGTTTTTTTTTTTTTTTTTTTTTTGACAGAGCGAGGATGCCAAAGCACAGGAGGCTATTAAGAAAGAGCTTCAAGAAACAGAAAAACTGAAAAACCTGTTTTCAGACTGCAAGGTGTTTCTGTCCAGAGAGGTCCCAAGAGAAATACTGGTGTTTGTTCTCAGGTAAAGATGTTTTGATATTTTTATATCTCAAACGGTTTCATTACATTTTTAATTAAATATAAGGGCACCCTTATGAGAGATTACCAGCAAAAAATATAAGACTAGAAGTGAACTCCTGGAGGTCTCATATGAGATAGGCAGGTAATGACACTTTTACACTAGTCCTGCCTCAATCTCATTGGCAATTAAACAACCAGGCAAGACTTGGTAGCCTTGTGCTTAATAACCTTTACCCCTTATTTTGCCTACAAAATGTGCTGTATTTGAGAGGTTTATTAACAAACTATCAGAAATTCTTGATTAAGCATTTTGTGGGCAGTGCTTGGTTGGGTCATTGTTTGTGTCCTGTACTCCTCATTTTGCCCACAAAATGTGCTGTATTTGAGAGGTTTATTAACAAACTGTCAGAAATTCTTGATGAAGCAGTTTGTGGGAAGTGCTTGGTTGGGTCATTATTTGTGTCCTTTACTCCTTATTTTGGCACAAAATGTGCTGTATTTTAGAGGTTTATTAACAAACTACCATAAATTCTTGATTAAGCAGTTTGTGGGTAGTGCTTGGTTGGGTCATTGTTTGTGTTCTTGGGAAAGGATTTGCACTTAAAGTAACAACTGTTGAAGTCTCTCTTTTCTTGTATCATCACAATTTTGGGAAACCAGTGAAGGAAACTTTGTATGTGCACAATGATGGTATTTGTACATGCCATACACACAGGTCCTATCCTGCAAGTTAAATTGCGAGCACTCACATTCAAGAAGAGAATATGCATCAGGGGGTGTTACTTTTGTTACTTAAAAAATAATGTATATCAAAAAGATTTGATTTCACAAGTGCATAAGTAATTTATTTTTAGATATGTGACACAGTAACTTTTCTCAACTTGCCAAATGTTTTCTCAACGTGCCTGGGTCAATGAAAAATTGTAAAAAAAAAAATGTAAATTCTAGGTTACATTCATTAAATCTTTAAACTAGAGTAGCATCAAACCATGTTTGATTGTCCACCTGGTTTCCTTGTAAACTTTAATTTTTCGATGACAGATGTTTTGGAGGGGAAGTCTCGTGGCAGAGTTCAGAAGCCATAGGAGCCACGTTTGAGGAGAACTGTGATTCAATTACCCATCAGATTGTAGACAGACCAGTTTATGGACACACATATTTATCCAGGTTTGTATCAGATTGGGAGATTCTTGCTGACTGAAAAATTTGGAGCTGCAATCCTGTTACATCCAACTAGTTTTTGAACGCAAGGAATACTTTAAAACTTGGTCCCGTAAACGATTTTGGCCTCGAGAGCCACTGGAAACGTTAATAAATCAAGCCTGTAAACAGGTTCCAGTAGGAAGGGCTGAGGAAGAACTGGGCTCTAACGGAAGCTCCCATCCCCTTACCTCCGCCCTCCTCCCCACCCCATACCCTTCCTCGCTCTTTCCTCTTCGCCCTATCTTCGACTAGAGAGCCTATACGAGGGAAAAATACATGTAATTCAAGTAACGCAAGTAGCTGTTACAGCATAGTGAAAAAAGAAAAGATACTCCTCGCTCCAGTTGAGCAGCCAAATTTGTCAGATTTATAACAAGCGTTCTCGCCATATCGACTTTCTTTTTAGTCTCCTTTGCAGCCATTTTTCAGAATTTCACGCAACATTCCCCCGACGCTTCTTTTGAGAGGAGCGTTTCGTGACGTAGAAAGAACGATAGGAGCCTACTTTCTGTGCTCTTTCCCACCCCTCCCCCCCCAGGAGTGATCAATAGGTAATTTCTCCTTTCAATATCAACTCTAGTTAAGCAAAATAGGTAATGAGAAGAATGTAGTACATCAGCTGGTGAATATTGTCTGGTATGACACCAAATCATCAGAGCTATAGTTTTATAAAATGTATGGTATTGAGATCTTGGGTTTGAAAGGGGTTGGTGCTTTGTAAAGAAACTCTTTCGTATCCTCCAGGTATTACGTCCAACCTCAATGGGTATTCGACTGTGTGAATTGCCGTAAACTTCTCCCTGTGGAGGATTATTTCCCAGGGGTTGAGCTTCCGCCCCACTTATCCCCGTTTGTGGAAGAACAAGAGGGTGATTATGTACCCCCTGAGAGACAAGCCATGCTGGAAGAACAGAGGCAGACAGAAGCGGGTGAAAGTGAGGCTGGACAGGAGAATGAAGAGGGTGAGGAAGTTGTAGGGATTAAATGGTGCTGTTGTCCAAAATACATTTGAGATATTCAACCTTTAAGCTCCGCAGGTTCTCTTTGGTTTATTTGCTGGATCTTCTATTTGGTCAATAGTAGCTTGATTATACAATAGACCGCATTTTCTGTCCATTTACTAACACTGGCACAATAACCCACGCGGGTTGTGGGGAGAACGTGAGAGAAATTATTATATCAAGAGTCAAAGACAAGTGATCTACAAATTTGTTTAGTGTTCTATTAATATGTCGCGGGTGTGGTCCATCGCTTTTATGAAGGAGCTATGGATAGGTTTGGGTAGTTTTTTGGCCAATCAGAGGGCGTGTAATATCTCATCTATCTTTTGAATATGAATAAATCTCATTCTTTGAAGTAACGCGCTATCGCTAGGACAGAGATTTTCAATCGAAAACCTAGAATAACTACGGATTGCATTGGATTTACTTTACTTCGCTGTTTGATTGGTCCATAAAAGTCGCACTCTCCCTTAACCAATCAGATACAAAAATTAAACTAATCAGGACTTGATCTCGTACGGTGAACTGCGCTTCAGGCAGTTTGCATCATTTTTGTTCGTTTAATATTCTTATTGGCTACTTGTAATTGCTTTGGTTTAGGTTTCTTCTATACTCAATTGAAATGTACTCTAGTCCAGAGATGTTGAAATCCGGGTGTAGAAGTTTTAATTTTGGTATTGGAAGGGAAACTATAAATTTACCTAGTTATTTCGACATTTTTCTTCTCGTTCAGGAATGTCTGGCGAAGGACTCAGCAAAGAAGAAAAGAACCTGGCCATCATGGCGATGAAGAAGAAAGACAGACGATTGTACGACCAAATTATGCATTCCAAGAAGAAAAAGAGATCAGAGGTAAAGTATTAAAATAAATTCTCTTCTAGTTTCTTTGAAAGTTGAGCGAGAAAGACTTTACTTTCCAGATCCTGGTTTTTGGCCAAGGGTGCCGAATAATACGAATACCTCTAAGATCAACTTTTATTGCTAAAAGCTGAAGTTTTTAATAAGTTGTATTTCGTTTTAGGTACGAAAACTTGAGGCTAAGCGAAAGGCTTACGACGAGGCACAGTCCCAGAAGAAACAGAAGACAAAATGAAATCTCGACATCGAATATGAATTTAATCCCTAATTAAAAAATATTTTACACCAAACTTGTAGATTACCACGTATTACTCTAACGTAACAGTGTAATTAAACACAATTTTTTTTTTAGAATTTTTTTTCTACTGTATGATTTACCATTCAAACAATACCTCTCCTTTTTCACGCGGCGATATTTTTTTGCTCCGTTGAGTTAGGCTTCGCGAATAGTGAGCGAAAATTCTCTTGTAGACATAATTTCTTGTCTACATCTTTGGATCAACATAACGCTTTAAGAAGTAACTTAAATCGAAATCAACACAGTCATATTTTCATTTAGTCGAGGATTTCTCGTTCCCAGTGCATTAACCAACTCGCATTGCCTTGCGGATAAATAGAATGACCTGGTTGCGATGTAATAAGCGCGAGAAAATGTCTGCGAAGTTACTTGTCCATCACTCCCGTGCCGAAAGAGCCGGTGCAAAGTGCAGGGTGAGGTCGTTCACTTTTGTTAACAATCCATTTCGCTGATGCTTGCTAATCCCTGAAAGGAAATATTTGGAGGAGACAGTGAAGCCACAACCTATACTTGACGAATAATATTGTTATATGATGACAAACGAGTGACTGTGGAATATCTTAGAGAATGTTGTAAGTTCACGTCCTCCTCCAAGATGTAATGTTAGCCCCTCCCAGACCAGGTACCCCCCTTAGCATGTTAGGTTTCTGTGGCAGTTGGGTGGTGCAGAATTACATCCCTGGTAGGAGACAAGCACTTAAAGATTAACGTGTCTTGCTCGTAAACTCAATTTGGAAACTGGACTTTTCAATGAGGCTTTGAGCGCTGAAAGCAATGTGCTTCGTCGACGCCTACTTAACCCCTTTAAACCCTTAAAGTGACCAACATCTATTTTCTCCCAACAATATCACTCCTGAATCATAAATTAAGGTCACGAGAATGAAGGAGATGATTACCAACTAAAAGTAGCTTTTGATCAGTAATCAAATTCTCCTTGTCAGCACCTTAAGAAATGTATTAAGAACAGTATGGAGAATATGCATACTGATGTTAGGGTGTAAAGGGTTAAGTGGGCCCACATTTTCCAAAACAGGATCAGAGAAAATTACAGCCACCTCATAATCATGTTAGTATTACACGTGCTAAGGGAACCTAAAATTCTCGTAATATGATACTATTAGAGTAATGGCCCATCCGAGAGTATGGTATTATCGATTACCGTGTTGGTTGTGTTTCCCGGATGTGGTCTCGTGTTGGCGTAAGCCAGAGGGGTTCCTTTGCAATGAAATGCTACTGGTACCTGGAATAGAAGTTTGATACAAGGTAACTGTGTAATCTAGATAGAAGCTTAGATACAAATTCAGTCTCGTGATCGCGCCTGGCGAAATAACATGTTGAAGGACACAGTAAACCATGAAAAGACTGCAAAGAGGTTTGCCTGCGCCAACAAAATTCGCAGGAGCCATTTTTGAAATTTGAGTAAGAGTATGCGTCATTATTAGAAAAAAAGCAAGCAAAGTTTTCTTCCTCCGTGCATTCCATACCATTTGATCCCACCACTAGACGCATGTATGCGTGTACTCGGGCGCTTGTAACGGTTAAATCTACGCACATTCTTTCTCGGGTTTCAATCTTATTCCACATGAAAATTTCATATGCACGCGTTAGAACCCAAACGGCGCGCCTGAACAAAACAGCCGGCGATACTGAAATATGTTACATAAAGCTGTGTACCTTTTCAATGTCTCGCCGCGATATAATAGTGGACGATTTATTGACGGACTGCGTGACACAGTGCTTTCTAGTCTGTATTCTTGTGTGAAGGTTCCCCCGTCCGAAGCCCATTAACAGACCAAGAGGGCTTACATGACTTCTGCTCGAACTCATCATCATTTGACTTTTACAAGGCGACAACCCACGGTTTTGTGGTGTAAACTCGTCGAACCAAGACGGCATTGCACGTGAGGCTAAACTTGAAGTCAAACCAAAATGACGGCTAGTAGTTTCAAGGAGTGAAAAAGATGGGGACAGTGGTGAAACACAAATGCTTTCCTTCAGAGCCAAGGCCTCTTTTGTGGACATGTCACCGGTTGAGTTTAGAACACTTCGGCACTCTTTTTTGAGTCGTTTCGCCTCGAAATAGCGTCTCGCATAGCGTTGTATGACTTTGGTTGATTCCTGAATTCTCCGGAAATTTATCTTGGCTCTCCATCCTTTCCAAGCTAAACACGAAAGGAAAGTAACACGGGTTTTCTTCAGTAGTTCCCTTTCTGAGAAATAGACCACGGTGTTTGATTTTAAAGCGATATAACATATTACTACTACTTCCTGTAATTATGGGGCTACGCTGCGCGCGCTGCGACCTCTGTTATTAGTTTAAACAAATCTTTGCAAAGTGCCAACAGGGTCTTAATTTATCGCTTCTACGGTCACCCATTTGTTTCTAATAAACGTATTCGAAACAATTTGCTCTGTAACAAAGTGGTTATACTATAGGGCTAATGTGCGGAGGGCCATTGGTTCGACTAAAATAGAGACTTACTCGCAGCAATTAATTGCAGTGGCAATTAGTTTTTTTCAACCTTCCGATATAGCTTCCTTAACGAAAAACCAAGATAGGTATTTCACCTGATTGGATTAAAACAGCCGCAGTCACCCTTCTCCGTTCGAGCCTCCTTTTGTGACGCCTCCAACACTTCTGGATTATCAACACTGATTTGGTGAGACATCTGTTTCGTACTTGCTCCAACCTCTCCATCTAAAAATAACAAAGCAAACTAGACTGGTTAGAAAACAAGTTGCATTTCTGTTGGTGTTTTGATTATAAGCTCTTATTAGTACCGGATAGGTTATCATGGGGGCTAGAATCATAGGTAAGTAGGACACAGTCTTAAAAGGGCGTGGCCAAGAGCGGTCCTCACTAGGATGCATGTCCCCCCCTCCCCTCCCCACCCCCCTCATGTTCAAATTATCATGCTTAAACTCTAATATGACGCGGGTGTAGAGTCCAGGTCCTACATCTGTTAAAAAAAACTTTTCCACAGCCCTTTCATGACTCACCGTTTCTTCCCTTAGAAAAACCCTCGTCCTTCCAATTTTTACACCATGACTGCCACTCTCAAGGACATTTTCTTTAACTTCATCACTATCAACCTTGACAATCTCCAAGATCGACCGACAGATGTGTCTCGTGTGGTCGTAGCTACTTCGGTGTCTCCGACGCGATCGACGCTTGAGTCTTTCCAAGGCGGGAACGCGAGGAGACGCCGATTCTACTGTCCTCGGCGACTTGGCTTGAGGAAAAGTAACGTGACTGTTCATAACAGGGTCCATATGCTTCAAGGCGATATTGTAGCGTTTCAGAAATTCATGATGGGATAGTCTGCGAAAACAATCATCGCATTAGCCTTTTTTAAACATAATTCACTGTGTGTAATCTTGTAGTGTGTGGTGCAGATCCACCGACTCCACTTAAGAAGCTATGTATGGATCCTACACTACGCCCACAGTACTACCAACCCTTTAAAATGCAAACGGCAGAATACCACCACCACATCATAAGAAGATACTTCCTGATGCATTACGTTACGTGATACATTCCGTTACGTTACATCGCGATGTGGGACATGCATTGGTCCAATGATTTGGCTCATTTTAGCGAAGTGAGTAGATATCGTTATTGATGTGCGGTAGGATTAATACAGTTTTCTGGGCTTACCTGATTGGATAACCAGCAGCGCTGATTCGAATTGTCTCGACCAAACCACATGCATTCAACTGAGCCATTACCTGGGTATGGGAAAACATTTTGCTAATATATTACACTTAAAAGGACGGACAGTGAAGTTTATCGACGTAGAAGGAGAGGGAGGGAAGGAGGAAATTTTAGTCTGGGGTATATGTGTCAAGATAGAGTAATAACTTACAAGAACAGAACAACCTGGCATGCCTCAAAATGCATAAGACGTTAGTATAACTCGTTCTGTCTACACCCGGGTCATTAACATACCTGGTTTCTATCGAATACTCCGGGCTGACAATTGGAGTTTGGCTTGATACAACGAATGTAGTGAACATTTGTAGAACGCAGTGTTGACATCAGTCTGTTGAGTGAATCCTGAAATAAGCCAGGAACAGTGTAAACATTTATGAAATAATTGAATGATAACATTTACAAAAGAACTGTTACCAGATTCACTTCCTGTGGAACCTCCATTTCGAGAACACCATCGGAACTGGAAATGTCTCTAAGAATTATGAATGTAACAGGGGCATAGCCAGTTTGAGCCTGGGGAAATGACCACAGTCTTCTAATCACAGCGTCTTTTTCCCGTGTGCTGAAGGGAGAGGGTGGAAACGAGGTTGAGGTAGCACGTTTTCGCTCTTTTTTCTCTTCTCCATTCCTCTCGCGACTATACCGGAAACTCCTACAACTATGATTGCTCTCCACGAAAACGCATCAATACCCTTTTTGTAAGAACAAGACTTGCTCAAATACCTTGAATTTATGAACAACAGTGATTGTGGACTGTCGATGTTTACTGCTTTCCTTGAATGGAAACTGTCCATTCTAGAACAAATGCAAAGCAAAAGGTGACAAAATTATGAAAAGTGAAGTGACGCTCACTTGAAGCAAACCTCGTATTACAGCTAATTAGACTTATTACCTCTTGTTCACCAGCTCTGTCCGGAATAAGATCTCTCGCTTGAAACAGCTCTTGGATCAATGAATTGGTGCTGCTTTGTAACAGTTCGATTACTTCGGGTGGAACAAAATCCTGCGATAACCAAATGAAAAGAATGAGGAGTGGGTAACATATAGGAAGACAGTGTGGAACACGTTGCAATAAAGACCCTGTTCTCCCCCCACGCAGTTGTTGCGATACAAGTTACAGTATTAGTGATGGGTCATGAAAACATGAGTAACGTGCTAGAATGACTCTCTCCAACTTTCTAGGACAAAAGCATATCTTGTCTAGATCCTTCCTTAGGCCTTGACACAAGATTGTTTAAGATCAGCTACGGCCTTTTCTCCCTTGAGGGTTCCAATCAAAAGCTACAATATGAGGCGTCGAAGTTATGAGCGTCGAAGCCCCCGGAGGGTTGGAGATCTCATTGTTGCTGAGTCACCGCCTTCATCTTAGTCTACTAACCCCCAAAACTACCAGCAACGTAAGCTTGAGCTTTACTTACTTTATTTGCCCGCCAAATTATAGCTTGCTGTCTGTGGTTAGTAGAATATGACAAAAAATCTGACCTTGTTTTTCTTGACGAGTTCTTCTACTTGGTAAGAGACACTCTCGGCAAAGTGATGAATACTGAACTCGTGATTTTCACTTTTAAACCGCGGACAGGTAAAGTGAGTGTTTTGAGCCAGTGCTGTCTTCAGGCGGGTACTGAACGAGTTAGTGTCCAGCTCTCTTTTCAAACGGCACTCCTGGAACAAGGAGAAAAGGGCATTTATCAGAAGGTATAGAGTGATTCTTAACCCTTTGCAACCTAACATCAGTATGCATATTCTCCATACCGTTCTCTATACATTTAGGAGAAATTTTTCAATAATCAAAAGCTTCTCCTCTATTAGTATGACTTCCATGTTTGATTCATAGGTGATATTGTAGGAATAATTAAATGCTTGTAAATCTTGAGGGTTAAAATACCTCTGGCGCTTTCACGTTCGAAAAATAATAAGCTTTAATTAGTGCTTGACTCACTAAAATAAGGAACACGTTCCCATCCATCTGAGAAAAAGGCGCATGAAGAATTCATCTTGCACAAAACATTCTGTTACCTCGTTCATTAACGAAAAGACACTTGTCCTCCCTTCAATGAGATCTAAACACGGACGATTGTCCACGAACTCTTGAAAGGTCCAGTCAATACCTTCCTTCTGATATTCTTCCTAGAATGCAAATGGAGAAGCGTCAAATTGGTCAGTGTGCTCGAATTCTTGCCCGGCTCCGCCACTGCTGGCGACCTAAGGTACCTTTTTGATCGTGTAGTCCTGAGAACGACTGTTGGCGGAAGTAGTAATAGAAGTTTTGTCAATCTAGACTGACGTTATCCTCAGGCTCGGGTGAGCAGGTGTTGTCTGTCAAGCGTGATCGGTCCGATTTGTGTATACTGATTGGTCAGTTTTTCAGTGATTATTTCATAGGGTACCATTATACAAAGTTTTATCAGTTTGAAGAACTGTTCAAAATGTCAAAACTGTTTAGAAAGAAGCCGATAACGACATACCTGTTGTCTTTTCATAAAGTGGTACACGAAATGTTGTTGAAGCTTTTCGTTAGCATAGTTGATACATAACTGCTCCAAGCTGTTCAAGTGGAAGTTTTCAAATCCGTAGATGTCTAAAAGACCTGGAATGAAACAGAAGAGAGTGAGTGATTTCTGACACAAAGTCAAGGTCAGGTAACATTTATCCAAGCGTAGCTTTTATCCACGACGAACCAATGGTCTAGAAAAATCTGTGCGCAGCTTAAATGTGATCGAGGTTAACCTTTTAATTCCTAGAATTCGACGTGATCATCCCGTAATTTCTCTTTACAAGAGCCATTATCCAGCCAAAAGGTTATCAGAACAGACTAAGATGTCAGCTAGGGGCTGATAACACCGAATACTCTGAGCTAATTTTCAAAGCAATGTATAGCGAATAGAAAGGAGAATTCCCAACCAGATCCTGGAAAATTAAGGGTTGACTTGAACTTCCTCCAAAACTTCTTAATCAACATTTACTTTCAGATGGGAAAAAACTTAAGTACAATAATAATTATTTTCTGTCTACTCTTACCGATGAAAGAATGTTTTGAATCGGGCGGTGCTCTGATAGAAATGTTTATGAAGTTTACTATCCAGTCGAACAATCTAGGAAAGTAAATAAATAAAAAATAGGCGCGTGTGTAAGACACACACGGAAAATAACTTTTTAGGTCACCTCATCAAGGTAAGCTGGGGGAGGGGGTGGGGGGTGGGGGAAGCTTAGGTCAGTAGTTCTAAGGCATCGTGCACAAACCTCTATTCTGTAATCAAATTCCAGACTGAAATCATACCTGGAGTAGACAAGTTTGGCTATACAATCTCTTCTCTCCACGCATTCTGATGTTGAACAAGGCTTCATGAACTGTTCGCCAGTGGAACCCGTTGTGATTCGTCGTGAGCACAAGCATTGCTCTAGAGACTGCGCTTCGGTTCCCAGTAAATCATAAACTTCTGAAACTGAACCGGACAGTTTAAAGAGCAATGAACACAGCACAATGTGACAGAACAAAAAGTAACAATTCCTGAATGGCTAAGGGTGTTCCTATGGCAAATATTTGTATTTTGTTTTCCTTTTAACTTCAAAACTGTGGTTTGCGTTCAACAGACTCAAATGTTTCATTCATTAATCTATCCATCCATCCGTCTATCCGCTCGTCTGTCCGTTCATCCATTCCTTGCCCCAGTCCCTTTTACCTCCATATAAGCTACTTCATTCTTTTCATCAATTTGCCCTTTGAATATGAGAGTGATCTTCCCAGTAATGAAAGTAAGCCTGAAAAATCTCATTGATTATTACACCAGTACTTCAGTTATCATAATGAAATTGAAGAGGCGCACTTCATGAATTCTGCGCCATAGAACGAGTTCCTTGGGACCTATTTTTTTTTTGGGCCGATGGATTTCATTTTACAATAATTCAGAAACTTATCCGGTACACACTAACCTTGATCATCTTGAACGTAACAAATTTCGCTCGTTGTCGTCGTATTCCCATCCACAAAGTGAACATCACAAAGTTTGAGAATTCCACTCAGGATCTAAAACGAGGAATAAATTTTCAGTAGTACATCGAGATAAATCATATTAGAGTGGAAAAAATAGTCGATAAAATAAAACAAGAACGTAAAATGAAATTAAGTGGTTGAAGCTTGGTTATTTTTACGGATCATTCCCGCTTTTGGAGATATCCGAGAGCCTTGAATTAACAGATCTTATGTCGCAGGTTTTGCTCGTGTGAACCTCGGAGGCGGCGTTTAATTGTTCATCGTTTTTTTGCCACTACAGAAGCAACACGTCAGGTACATGACGCATCAGTGTCATGTTAATATAATGCCCTATTCTACATTAACATCAGAAGGATCATGTTTAGAACAAGGTTTTCACTGGGCTTTCATTTCAATTTCTCATCGGAATAACCGACATCAATCGAAATTTCTAAATACACCGTTCCTACCTTAAAAATTTCGCATTGAAGTTGATGGTCAATTCCAACATTCTCCAACGCTTGCTTTGTTGCTTCGAGAGCTGCAGAGAAAATCATATCTAATGAAATCATATCCTCTCCGGCTCTTAAAAACATTTTAAAGAATTGATTTTTTAAAATTCACTCCAAACACGCAACTTTATCGCGGCTCGAAACACTCGAGCTTTGTTAGAGAGTCCTAGAACAAGGCTCCAAGATTAGTTCAGAAGGCGACATTCGTAGATTCTCTTTTTAAATTTGTAACTAATCTTCAGGTTCAGGGTTCCCTGGAACTCGTCACATTTGCCTGCATTTGCGCAAGCAAGCCTGAGTCTATAAAAGTGACCTTCAAAATTTACAGAAATAGAAGTGATAACTCTCAATATGTCAGTCTGTGTTTTCACTCCAGGTTTTTAAAAATGACCAAAGTAAAACTTGCTGGCAGTTTTTTTTCAATTAAATAAAAAATAGTCATCATCATCACCGAGTATCAACTACTCTGTGCGAGGGGTGCTCAATCAAACCGGAATCCTCGGGGAACTCGCGCGCGCGTAACACGGAGAGAGTTCTTTCCTGGTGTGTTATTCACGTGTGTTGCCAGCGTTAAGAGACGTCAGTGCATTATGGGAACATATTCTTACCAGCAGAAGCTGATTCGTCATTTCTCAAAGAAGAATCTTGGAGGTGGCATTCTGCCGAAGTCATCTAATTTGCAAGAGAAAAGGCTTGAAATTAGGATTTAAGGGTTCTTATTAACATAATAAGGGAGATAGAAAACAGATATTTCTGGACTCTTTTCAGTTTGCATCTTGACGGTTTACGTTTTCACCTGGTCAAAAATGTGAAACTTTCGTTCCCCTTTAGCCTGATGTACAACTCTCGTCTTTTCCAGAAGATAAGTGTTGATAGTTGCTCCGACGATCTTCTGGTTCCTATGAAAAATCAACAATGTATTAGCACCAATTCAGAGTAGACTTAATGGAGTTACGTCTGTTTACATCCTTGTTCGTTCCCTAATTACAATTACTGCTTCTTGAGATAATATTTGCGGTTTGACAATGAGCGAGAGCCAAAGTGCCGTAGTACTGAGCTCCTACTTTGACTCTGGGGTCCTCATCTCTATTAACATTTACACTCTAGTATACCGTTTCCCCTTTGTTCCTCCTGACCCTACTCAGAATACCCAACAGAAAAATGTGTTCTGTACATCTAGTTAATTGTTGTTTTGTAAACCTTTACCAAGACACGGCAAACTACAAAGATCCAAAAACAATGTATTGTGACCCCATCGAAAATTCTCTGTGAAGTCTCTGTGTAAAATTCAGGATAATCCAAGAACGAACAAGAGGGAAAAAACCTGCTCTTTAATCTTTCAGTCCGGTAAAATTATTGCTCAGATAAAAGAACAGTAGAATCAATACTTAGTTATTTTATGAAATCAATATTATCAACAAATGGACTTTTTATTTAATCTTTGAGCTAATTCTCACCTATCAAACTGAAGTTGGATGTATTTTCCAAATCGACTACTGTTTTCGTTGCGTACGGTCTTTGCATTTCCAAATGCTTCCAGAATGGGATTCGAATCTAGAATCCTTTGCTCAATTCTGTTCACTTTAGCAATCTCGTCTTTCCTGTGTGGAAAAGGTGAAAATGTTATTTACCTTAGTATTTCTTTATGCCATGGAGTAACTAAACAGAAACTTACCGCAAGATATCGGAAAATGTATCCAACATGAAAGAAGGCTTCTTACCTCGAATTCGTCAAATCAGTTATGAAATGCATAAGTTTTCGTGTTGTCCATGTCTGCAAAAATAATAAAGCTTGTAAATAACTGTATTCCAATTATTTTAAACACTTCCATTCCACTCCCTCTACTAACCTTTCCCGCGCCACTCTCGCCACTGACGATAACGGACTGGTTCTTGGTTTCCATATCTCTCCTGAGATCGCAATACACTTTCTGACCAATGGCGAATATATGAGGCGGGCATTCCTTCAATGAAATATACGATCAAATTAGTACATCATATAATATGCCTTAGGTTGCCTGACTAACTGTACAATTTACTTGATTGCAAAAACGTAGTTTCGACCGAGCAGAAACAAAGAGCACTATTAATAGTTGAGTAATTCCTGCCCCTCGCTTATTTATTATTTAAATTTCCCACAGGTTGCAACATAATTGTCTCGCACTGTGCTCGCATTGCGACTTATCGATGATGTTATTACGTGACTACCAAATTTTCTTGGCTTTGAAGGTTACCATATTTTCTTAACCATGGGGCTCCGCATGTGTGCTTTGATCAAGGAGCTCCACGATTCTTTTTCAAATAGTTCATGTAGCGCAGCAGATGTGCAAAGTGTTGGATCCTTAACCTTTATTTCACTTGGCCCAATTCTCTTGTATTTCTCAACCGTTGCACTGTCATAGAGATCTGCAACATTTTGGAATGGATTGACTGCAATGAGTGGAACACCTGTGGATCAGATTAAAATATCAGTCGTTACCTTATGGAAGCTTCGCAAAGTGGAAAATATAGGGCAGAGAGTCTCATGTCCCACATCAAAAACTCTCAGAGGGATGTTCTACAGGTTTTATGGCCTTTTATGTAAGCTGGTTGAAAAAAATTGAGAGCTGGTACATTGAAATAAAAGTGATGCCTAGGCATCAGGTGAGCTAGTGATATTATTTCAAAGTTGAACAGGTAAAGAATGGAAATTCTTAGTGATATCAGTATGTGATGACATACCTGCCCAAGAGTAAAATTTGCCTGTTTGAAAACGAGCTTCTATCACCTGGAGCACTGCAATCAATGAGAAGAATTCAAAGTGTTATGACTCATAACAAGAGGAATCACTAACCTCTCTGTGATCTCATGTTGGGCTATGAGTCTGCCACTATGAGTAAGTTAAATGGAAAACCTATCTTTAAATGGTATTTAATACTTAATCATAGTATCTCTTGCATAACATATAATACTTTCCATGTCATGTAAATCTTAAAACCCATAAGATAACAAGGTGGGGATGTGATGGTTGAAGAGTCCCCTCGGACAAAAGCTAAAACCCATGCAAATTGACAGTTACTTGTGAATGATGTAAACGTTAAAGAAAGGTAGAAAATTGAAGCATATTGTTAAACCAATTTACCAGTTAATGCAGTTGTGTTTGAGCCACGAAAAATCCAATTGGACTTGTGATTATCCAGGTGAGGGTGTGTACTGAAATGGTTCAGTTTCAGTGACATTGACAGGTAATTCAACAGCCTAAGTTGAAGTCATTTTCACTTGGATATCATATGACATCGCTGTTACTCTAACTGCAGCTACATTTCTTCATTTTGCACATTTGACCACAGTTAAAATTTACCATTTTTTGTAAAATTGCCGAATCTCAGGTTGCACAACAAATAAATATACTGGTAGGACATGATAGTCTACATGCTCACATAGCCTTTCCAGTATTGTTGAGAATCTGACATATGTCCATAGGTTCACATGTTTGATCCTTGTAAGAAATTGGGAGCATTAGGCTCAGACAGCCACAGTTCTTATTGTCAGTGATAGTGCTTCTGATTAAGACTTGAGTGTTTAGACTGCACTATTCAGGAATATTCTCATGCAGTAGGTGAAAAATTGACATTGAAAGTCATTTGCACAAATTACACTTGACCCTAACTCCAACCTACAATGGAAATTGGAAAGTTTTGAGTTATCAGGGAGAAAATATAAAGCAGGTACTTGGGTATATTTGGGAGGGTACATGCCAATATAAGTCTCCAGATGTGGATCCCTTTTTAAAGAGAATTTTCACTCAAAATGTTACCCTGCCCTAGAAATAGGCTGATGCTTAAAGCCTTGTTCCATAATTTTAATTTAATGCTTTAAGGCCCATTTGCATCGAAGGAAATGCATCTTAAAATGATACCCAGGGAGTGTCAAAACCATGACCTCATTGAGCGGCAAATATCTGTAAAATAATGATGGGAAGGAACACCTTGAGGGGGGAAAGAAAAAATGACTTACTGGTTTATTTATTTATTTATTTATTTATTTATTACGATTTAATGGCTACTAGCTACTTAACAAAATCGCTTCAGATTCACAAGATGCGAAGACTTTGGGGCATTAGAGAGCACTAGGCTTCTACAGAGAATGAGATTCAAACCTGTTTTTTCATTCAAAGGACTCAGTGAGGTTAAATCGCCAATGATGCTTTGGAAAGCAAGGTTTTCTTCTTTATTTCTTTTATGGAAAGACTCTTCAAATGAACCATCCTTTTTCCTTTCTGCCGGCTTATTTGCAGTTAAATTTTCCAATACCTGAAAATAAAATAAAACTGTTTGAAAGGAAACTCTCGAAAAGTCATCAACTTATCCAGATTGTCCGGTGATTTACAGTTACATGAGACTTTTCGGTATTTTTGTCTCAGAAATCGCTCTTAAAATAAGATTTCTTCACTGCCATGACATATTTTGAGACTCTTAATTTAAGTGTAAATGTAACCAATTTTTAATGAGGAGCAAGATCACCATGGAAAAGGAAATCAAGTCAAATCAAAAGCTTTTAACTTGAATGAGATTAAATGTTTCGATTCAGTTCAAAGAGAAGTTCACTCGCATATGAAAGAGCGGCTTTCACAGTAGTCAACTCTCAGCAGCGATCCTGACAGTACCTATGACATGTGTTTATGACATACTTACCTTCATATTCGCATTAACTAATCAGCGAACAGAACAGTAAACACAGCTGATCGCGAAATTTATAGAAAAATAACTTAATGTTATGGAACTCTCATTCAAATTTCGAACCGTGGATAACTAGTGAGTTTTGATTGGCCAAAAGTATTCAAGCCGGCAGTCAAACAACAGCTTGCGCAGCGGCTAACTACAAAAGTGATACGTATCATGTATCCAAGATGCTTAGCGAGTTGTAGTTATGTTCGATGATGCAGAAAACATGGCTTCCTCAATCACTCCAACTAGATGGGAAGGTTTGCGTTTTTCTTTGTAATTCTGGGATGTTTTTATCGTGATGTAGAGCTAATCTATCCTTTGAAAAAGTACGACCGTAATTTTTGCATTCTTGTGGTGATATTTTATCTTTTCTTCGCAGAATTGAGGAAGAAAGCGCGACAGCTTGAAAACGAAATAGATTTGAAACTTGTCTCCTTCAGCAAATTAGGAACAAACTACAGTCAGCGTGATGGCTATAAAGAGAGGTAACCGTTATAAAATGGATACAAACAGACTCTAGAGTCTCACAAAATGTCTTATTCACTGTTTTTTCCTTTGTAGTTCGGATACATCGCCGCTTTTAAACAGTTCATCGAGTGAACGACTTTTTGAAACTATGGGACTGGAAATTGAACAACTTTTATCCAAGGTAAGTTTTTCATTTGATTTTGAAATGAGTCAGATGTTTTTTATAAATATCAGCTATTGGAGGGTATCCATATGGTCATGAATAATTATAACTTAATGTAAGCAATTACTGAATTTCTAGTTGCTGTGGTGACGTTGCAAGAATTGTCTTCGTTGCAAGGATTGTCTTCGTTAGCGATATCGCAGACAATTCAATATTATATTTTATAGCTTTGATTTTTTTTCTAGGTTATGTAATATTAGTTCTCAATATTCCTATTCCATTGGCCAACATCATCCTTTATCCCACAATCGAAACACTCAGAAGTCTAAGAAATTTCCCTTTATGTACAAATAATTTTTTTTTATTTGAAAGAAATACAAATTATTATAAAATTTTTACTTTTTTTTTTTTTTGAATGGAAATCAACACAATAATTGTAAACTACTTACTTTTATTGTTTAACCTTATCTCAGCCTCTGGCCCTTTGACTCAAAGTGAAAGGGAGAAAATACTGTTTACTAAATGGAAGTGTAGACAAACTCTGCAAGCATGAGAAGTAAAGACAGATTTAATGGATTGTGTGTAGCTTCTAGAAATCTTGATTTGTTTAATTGCAGTTGACAGAAGTCAATGACTCAATGGCTGAATATACTGCTGGCTTCAACTTGGGCCAACCTAATGCCACACAGCTCCACACATTACAGAGACATAGGGATATTCTACAGGGTTACTCACATGAATTTTCAAAAACAAAGGTACTGTACATTATTTGCTTTGAATTGGATTTGACCCTAGACCTTTCTGGATGAGGTCTATAAATCATTCCTGTACTTATTGAAATCTCTCATTTAAGGCAAGTTTCATTTTAGTGTTGGAAGTGATCCAATACTGCTTTGGCTTTTGTGATTTCACACTGTGATAGCTTCAGAAAACTTGTGCTACTTTCTCAATCAATTAAGTGCAAAACTGAAACCATCTACAACTTGTTTGCCAGCATCTTTTTGTACTTTCGGAAGTTTGCCTATGTTAAGAACTGTTATTGGTTTTTTGTTATATTTGCTTTGTCACTTTTTCTGATTGGATCAATTGGCTGGTTCACTTCAAGACATTCAAGCATTTTAAGTTGTTTTTCATGTTGCAGCTGAGAAGATAAATGCTTCATCTTATTTAGACTCTAAGAAAAATGTAATCTTTCTGAAAATTTCCCTACTAATATTGTTATCCTAGGCTAATATCCAGGCTTTCAGAGACAGAGAAGATTTATTGGGATCTGTCCACAGAGATATCAAGTAAGAGCTCATGTACTTATGTATCAGGCCTGTGTTACATTATCCTTCCCTGTATGTTAAAGTCCACTTTCATTTCTAAAATGCCAGAATTTGAAGAATAAGTGATCAAACATGATCATTTGGGTGATGGTAGTTCTTAACCCTTTACCTAACATCAGAATGGATGTTCTCTATACTAACCTGTAAACATTTTGTATGGCACTGACACTGAGGATTTTTTTAACAATGAAGATCTTCTATATTTTGCTATCATATCTTTTATTCTCATGACCTTAATGTTTGAGTTATATGTACATGTGATATTGCAGGAAAAAAGTAGATGCTGGTCACCCTTTTACCTTTAGACCCGTTAGGGTGACTAGCATCTAATTTCTCTTTACAGCATAACCCCTGAATCACACCTAAGGGTGAAGAGAATGAAGGAAATGATCTTCAACTAAAGAAGCTCTTGATTGTTATACATATTCTCCTTGTCAGCACTTTGAGAAATGTGTGTAAAACAGTATGGAGAATAAGCATACAGATGTCAGTGTGTAAAGGGTTAATGGTTCAAAAATGATTCCTGGATGACTTGGGTCTGAAGTCATCTTTAACATCCTGTGTTTTAACTCTTGTTTGTGGAAACACGTGTCAGTTTGGCAGTAATGTGGCCTCAAAGATGCAATTAGTGTGGTCCAATGGCTTTGTTTGTCTTTGGTAAAGCAAGGCTTTTTTTGTTTGATTCATCGAAAATGTTACCGTAATTTCCGGTCGTTTACCCGCACGGCCGATTACCCGCACCGGCCGATTATTGCATACGGCGAAAAAAAAAGTCAACAGATTACCCGCACTGGTGGATAACCCGCACGTTGTTATTCAACTTTTTGGTGGCGAAAACGTGACATTAAGGTGATACATTTCAGTCTTTTAAAAGTTGTCTGATCCAACTTTCGAAAACTTGAAAGCGTCTTTGTCGAGTTTAAAGGTCAAAGAAATTCAGACGCGTGCACAATTCTGTGTCAATATTAGCATGTACTTTATTGATAAGATTATACAGTAAAAACACTAGCGGCCCATGCCCAAATCTCAACGTTTCATACTTGACAGAATGCGAATTTGTGGCCACATTTTGTGCGAGCGATCGTTCAGCGCCATGTTGATTTGTTGAAAAAAAGCTGGGTGAGTATTAAAACTTGAATTATAAAGTACTGTCGGCGATTTCTGAAAAAGTCGATATCTCCGGTTCTATTGGGCCGAACAAGTCCCTTAAAACGGGAAAATTCTCTTTAGCTCAAGCTAGTGTTAAATGGAAATTTGTTACTGATGCGCCGGATATCTATGGATAATTTTTGTCACCATCAAGGTTTTGTTTTCACGCGTGCCGATAATAATTTGTTCGTCGCGCAACTAATTATGCGTGAAATAAACTCGAGTCGGCATCATGTTTTCGTGCCGCTTTGCGGCACTATTAACACAATAAAATTTACTTGAGAGGTGGAAACGCATGTTGGTGATATTTTTTTTCAATTCAACTACCACTGGATTTTAAAATTGTCACATAACCCGCACCTCCCTATTACCCGCAGTGGCGCGCGTTTAATGCAAAATCAGCAGATTACCCGCGGGTAAACGACCGGAAATTACGGTAATGTTCTAAACTTGTCAATCATCGTCTGTTGGTTGTAATTGACTTCTGTCAAGGAGAGTCTAGTGTTAAATAGAAAATCAGCTTTCCAGAGTCAGCTGTTCATAAAAATACTTATTCATGGGCAGGAAACAAGCCTACCAGCCATACTAACCTTTGGGGTGTAACAACTCTCCTACTGTTTGTTAAATTGGCTTTAAATGGATTTTCCTTAACATGTTTGAGAGTCACTTCAAATAGTGGTAATGCAAATGTTTTATCTATGTTTTTTTGCATGTTGTGATAGTGCATACAAGACTGGCATGAACAGAAGAACAGATCTCTACCTAAAAGAAAATGAACATATTAGAAAGTATGTATACTGTTTTTGTGCTGAAGGTTGTTTATGTTTTGGGAGTTAGCGGCAAGTTTGCTCCAAGTTTAGACAGTTAAACTTGCTTCATTATTACAATTTAGGTTCCACACTTTTTTAAGGAAAAGTTGAGTTGGGTTATGTGTTAAGGAACCTGGAGATTTCCTGTTCTCAACTTTTACCTTCAAAGAGAAAAAACTAACTCTTTCTTTGATTTATATCCTAGTTCAGATCGACTGGCAGATGACGTGATAGGGTAAGTTTTGTTTTGACTTCTGTTTGCAATTCTTCTTACAGTTCCAGTATACCCCTTATATCACCTCAAGGCAGTGGATATCAAGAATTTTTTATTTTTATTTTTGAACTATTAAAACTTAACTGCTTTAACCTTTTAACTCCTTAGAGCAACTAGTATCAAATTTGTCCTTACAATATCACCCCAAATCAAACATGAAGGTCGCAATAATAAGGAAATGATCGCCTAGTAAAGCAGCTCTTGATTGTCAAACAAATTCTCCATATCAGCACCTTAGGAAATGAATGAGAACTGTATGGAGAATATGCATCGCAATGGTTAGGATGTAAAGGATCAATAATTATCTACTATCGAGCAATTTCCAAATGACTTTTCTGCTTTCTTTTGTTTGCTTACGTTTTGTGATACCCTGCAAGGATTACAGGGTAGTGAATTAGTTTCTCCTGTGTTGCTAATCTATTAATTTTTCAATCTTACCATTTTTTTTTTCTGTGAACTGTAGTGTTGCATTGGCCACCAAAGAAAATCTTCAGAGTCAAAGAGGTGTTCTTCATGGTGTCACCAGCCGATTAAGTGCTGTCACTAGTATCCTTTTTATAATTCAGTTTATATTGGTATTTCTGATATTTTTATCAATGAATGTGATCCTAAGTTGCCTTCCTTTGAAAGATAGGCTGGCTTTTGTTTATTGCCATGGACATTACTATGAAATGTCTTGGTTTTTTTATCCTATTTTTTGGTTCAAACAAGTTGAGACCCCTAGACACATTTGTGAAAAATCTTATAATTATTATCAATATTATTATGAGTATTATCACCAAAATTATTCATTACTATTATTACTATTGTTATTAGAGGTGCTAACAAGAGATTTCTCTTGAGTGATGATTGTACTTTGCTATCCTTAACGTCTTTTTTAGCTCGTTTTCCTGCTCTTAATAGTTTAATTCAGCGTATAAATGTCAGGAAAAGACGAGATTCTATTATACTGGCTAGTGTTATCTCCATATGCATCATTCTAATGCTCATTTATGCCCTCGGATGAATACTTATCAGTGCTATGGATTCGATTTGCAATGATCTGAAGCTATGTCTGATATGAACAACAACCCCTATATCCTAGCTGATTTTGATTAATTTATGGCAACACGAATGATGAAACTTGGATTAGTGGGGTGTGTGATCATCCCAACATATTATCATCATTGTATGCCTGCGTTCCAACAAGAATTGAAAGAAAGAAAGAAATTTAAGTGGCAAGAACCAACAAAGATGAACTTCACAAAAAGGGAAATGCAATCAGGGTATTATTGCCCTCATTATTGTCATCAGCAAGCTACATAAGTAGCACATTTTTCAACTGAATGTCAAAAGTAATCAGGGATTGCACTGGTTTTGCTTTACTTTGCTCTGTTATTGGTCTAGAAAACTTGAGCCATTCTCTCAACCACCAGATGCACAACAAATTCCTGCTCTTAATTCAGTTTGGTTTTACTTTGAGTTCTCATTGGCTCTTAAAGGTGTTTACCTTTCCTCTGATTGGTGGTTGTGATTACTACAGTTTTGGTTTTTTAACACTAAATTTTAAAGGGCTCAATAGTGTACCACTTGAATGATTGATAAAGGACTCGCAAATACTGTTTGTGACTCATTTGGTTCATATGTGAAGAAAAGATGATAACAAACATTTTCTGGTTGATCATGCTGTGTGTAAGAGGGTATTTGAGTTGGGAGATAAGAAAAACTTAACAATTACTTGTAACACAGAGTTAAGGTGTGGAGGCTGTTTTAACTGACAGTATAAATTGTGGCAATCAAAACTATTGTATAATGAATGAAGGGCACTAGGTCAATAAGGCACTCAAATTGTGTACTAGTGGTGTAAAGTGACATGGCATCATAACTTATCAAATTTCCACTCATACAGTAGTTGTAAATAATTCAATAAATAACAGTGAGATATGTGTTGTATTGTTTGTATTGCACTGACTTTCTCTGGCTAGCACCTGTGAAAGTGTGTCACAGTTCTCAATGGGTTGGATAACATGGCCTGTTAACAGTGTCCATCAAAAAATTACTTTCAGTCATTTTGATAGATTTACCTAACAGTCTAATATCAAAGTGCTGTGATGTTCATGAAATGAAATCCCTACTACTCCATATCTACATGTAATGAAAGTTGCCAAGAATTTGGTGAGGCGAGGTTTGAGGTTTTTAGTCGTCAAAATTAACTTTACCTGCAGGTTAAGAGTGAATGAGTCGACTCAAGTATTTATTATTTTCAAATAATAACGTAGCCTGCGAGAAGGCCCTTGTTACGAGTGCTGCAGGACCCGCGTTCCTCTACCGATTTGAGTCGAGTCGGGGAGAGGTTTTCTGGGGTGTAGCTCCTCATTATCAGTTCCAGACCCCTTGCAAACCTCTCACCGGCTTGCATTGCGCAAGGCATCATACTTTCCGGCGTGAGAAGAAACGCTCCACACCTTATGTCATTAGTAACGTCTAACAACGCCGTGGTATTTATTCAAGAGCGACATTCATTTTGAAAAATTACGGTAAATCATCTGTAAACCTTGTGCAAAACAGAGATACAAGTCCCAGTCTCTCACCTTGTTGATGAGAGAGAATCATATGTGCGTGGATGGAGGGTCCCCCATAGGTTTTTCGGGATCCGGTACTGGGCTTATTTAAAGGCCGGGATCCGGGAATTTAAAGTAAGAAGGGAGCGAGATTTATAATTGGGATCGGGATTGGCTGATATAAACCGTCGGGATCACGGGATTGAGATAAGAATTTAATTCGGGATCGCTGGATTTAAGGCAAAGTATATCTTTATTTCCATACAAGCAATTCGGTTTTGTCAATGTTCAATCTATTAAATAAGCTCGATCAGGAAAAAAAAAACTCCGAAAATAGATTTATAGTCCAAGAGTACTCTCTGTATATTTACAAATAAGCGTTTCGCAAATAAATTTTCTTTTTTTCTGTTTCAGGCACAGCCAACCTTGTCCTCATTTCACCGCTGGTATCATTCGTGTAGTGCGTCAAACTATGTCTTCTTGTGACACATCTAACATGTCGGCTGGGGATAAAAGTAGATATGAAAAAAGTGTGTTAAATGTGGAACAGACATTTTAGGAAATCATGATCAAACAGCTAACATCTACACGACAGGACTTTGTTAGAGTATAAGTAATCCATTCCCCGCCACACGTATCAAGAAATGGCCCATTGTTCCGGGTCAACTTTTCCATTAAGCATCAAAAAAAGTCCTGAGTAATTGGTAGTCCTGAGGGACTTTGGCCGAAGGGAGGCGGAAAAGCTCGTAACTGATCGAAAAAATCATCGGAGTTACAATTTTGCTGCACTGGGGGAGTGGGTAGTGTAAATATGCACTAGTGAAATCAATCTCCATCGGTATACCCAAGGGTAGACTTGACCCTCGTCTACTGCATCGAGCCCAGGGTTCGCAAATTCAAAAATAATTAAATTTATCTGCATTGCAGTGACTCATTTGAACCACCTCTCTCTATATGTAAGTCAAGTCGCCTGGTAAAAAGTCAACGTACAAATATTTTTTTTTGTTCTTACTACTGGTGTCAAATACAATCGAAAGTGACGGTTTTCTGTGGAGAGTCTCGAGGCGATCAAAGACCTTGTTTCTGGCGGACAGCTGTTTTCAAACGAGGCGCTCATCATTATGGCCTCTTGTTTTTTTTTCAGAGTCCTTTTCTGCAAGTTTTACGCAAGATTTACAGTGCACGTTCCAAATTGGCAAATATATTACCTGGTTGTTTCTGACTCATCCGACGTACCAAGCTGAGAGAGAAGGACTGTAACTTATCACTTTGATTGTTTGACCCAAATCCATAAAAAAACTTAAAAGCATGAAAGCGAAAACAACGAAATGGATTTTCCAGTGATGAAGGGCTAAGCCCAACCTGTGAGGAACTTTGATTTTAAACGTTAACTCTTCCTTTTTTTTCACGTTAACTGAACGCTAATCGACTGAATGGTGTTTGAAACATCATTTGTCTGGGATGAAAATAATAACTTTGTGGAACTGAGTTATAAACGCCAGCGTCTTCAGTAAGATGATCGCAAAATAAGACAAAAACTAACCTGTAATTGGGGCCACTACCACGACTTGATGTGTATAAGTTTTTCTCTCTTCATATGGTGACATAAAACCTTGCGAGCTCGAACTTCTTAGAGACAGTGACGAAGAGTGATTTTCACAGTTCACTTTCAGTTCTTGTAAAGGAATATTATCACTATTTAAATGTTCTTGCGAAGAAGATAAGCTCACTACAGTTGATGACGGAATGTTACTTTCCTCGTTATTGGTGGAGTAAGAGAGATTTTGCGTTGAGCTGTGTGTTTCAGTTTCGGGAATGTATTGCGCAATACTTGTCATAGAAGAACGTATGCTATCTGAGCTAGAAAGACATCTCCCGCAACGTCTTGCAAACCAATGACGTGCTCTTCTTGGTTTATTTGATGTCCCTTCCCTCTCTGGCGAGAAGAAGCATCAGTATTAGTGTTTTATTTCATATTTTTAAAACATATTGTAGAAAGGGAGCAGAAAAAACAAACCACAGAACCATTTCATCGTCATTTGGAAAATTACTCCTATTTGAGTAGATACGGGACTTTAATTTTTTGAGCAGTTATCAAGGACTTCGGGGCAACAGTTTGGCCCTGGCCAAAACTTCCGCCATATTTTGAAACTAATTACCTTCAGTAAAACAATGATGCGCATTGGATTAGAATTATCCAATGAGGAAGTAGCTTTCTTTACCATAAAATTCAAAGATGGCGATCAACACGGCACGCTTTCTGTCCAGGAAATATAGGTAAGGATAAAACCCTTAATTAGTTTTTTACCTTCCAGTTACGGTGACAAAGTTGATACCAATAAGTTCCTCCTTACCTACTATATTAAGCATGCACAAGGGGCATGTATAATTCGATAATAACCATGGATCAACACAATCTTTGTGGAACTCATGTCGGCAAGGTACGATTCTAACGTCCTGGAAAAGATATGGGAGAAAGTTAAAATGGGAATAACTTTTATTTTATAAATTTCTAGGTAATGAATGGACAGTTGTAGTGATTAAGGAACCAAAGGGAATTCACGATGTTATTAAATGTCTTTTTTTTAGTAAAAATTTTCGGCAAGACTTCCGTACAACCCCGTACTTAATTATGCCTACAGTTCTTGGATCAAAGAAACAATGGCGAAAGCTATACCATGCCTTTGGGACTACGGCTTTGTTTAAGGATAGAATGGGCTCATACAGAAATCTTTCCAAAGCTTCCAGAAGTAAGCCACAATAATACTGTATTTACCGTTGAATATTATGGGACATGATTGCTAAGTAAAGAGGATTCTATTAGACAGCTCAGGAAATTTTCGAAATGAGTAGTGGTTTCTCTTACCTACCATAATTCATCTTTTAACTTAACTGTTTTTGAAATTGAGATTAAAATCATCTTGTCATTAAATGTGCCACGGTGGAATTGGTAGAAAGGTTTTCCCTTACAAGTTGCAAATGTATTGTGGTTCCATCTCATTGAGGGTTAAATAGAAAAACCAAGGTTATTTTCTTTCTTGGGGATTGCCTATGTGTGCTACAGACTCAGACAATTCCAGGAACAGACTTGTTTTACTGTGATCAACCCAGTTGGTAAAAAAAGGAAGCAATTACCTGGCCTTCTTTAAATTTTTCTAAACATATGACACACTTGGAGTTACGTCCTTCAGAGTGTACTGATAGTGTGCTCTCAGTGTCACTTGTGTTGCCATTTTCTTCTCTTGTGCTCAACGAATCTGAAGAACCACTATGATATTTTCTAGTTTCCATTCTTGATAAAGCATGCAGTGCCATTCTTGTTAGAGAGGACTGTGTTTCAGACAGAAAAAAAACAAATACTTGATGAGAGGAGAGATCTGGATTATTTAATAAGTATGGCTGAACAAGGCAGAAGTATAGAAGTATAGAAAGATATGGTCATTGTTCTCTGTGGCTATGTGATTACCAACTGTTTACTCAGTGCTCCTATTTAGCCAATCAAATGTAATAAAAACGTGTTACTGACTTGATAACAGATACATTCATTCTCTGACAGTAAAATAAAATGGAAAGGACTTTAAAATCTATGGTGCCTACCTCTTTTTGTTTTTGTCTCCATTTGATCTAAAAAATAAAGAAAAAAATTTTAAAGAAGTGATTTGGTACAAGAATTACATGACAGCATCAGTTAAGGATAATTTACATTCAGAAATATTACAATCCACATAAAATTTGGACTTCTCTTCAAAAATAATTTTTGGAAGTAACAATTACAGAATATTGACAGAGAGGGGGAATTTTACAGGGAAGTATTCAGTAAGAGCATAGTATATTGATACATACAGACTACAAAACCATGACTAGCTTGTTGCCAACGAACTAGCATTCTGCTTTGTTGGCATGGTATATGCTCAACTGATAACTCTCTGCAAGGAGGAATATGTTTTCGGCAAAGGAACATAGACAACTTTACATTTTGTTCTTTTGCTAAGGAGTAAAAATTTATGGATCAGAATTTTTGATGACTTAATTGTCAATTCAGTGATTGAAACAAAAATGTGAAATCTCAATTGGCATCTTGGGGGGGGAATTTAAACCCTAGAGGAGCTCAGCTATTGCAGAGAGATGGTTGCTGTCGAAAGGTGATTATCCTTCTAGAAGTTCAGTGGTATTTGTTATTTATTTTCACAACAGATAGTAAAAATCTAGTCTTACCTTTAACAGTAAGATGAAGCATACAATGGAAACCAAAATGAAAAATGTCATAAAAATAACCATGTCAAAGTATTCATTTGATGCTCTCTGAAAAACAATAGTAAAAGATATCAACTTATGAACAATAAGTTACTGAGTGGTACATTTTGTGATTTTCAGAAATGAGAG